TTATTATTATTATTATTATTATTATTATTATTATTATTATTATTATTATTGATCTAGGGCCAGGCATGTGGTTGCTTTTAATGCCAGCCCTGAGAGGCAGAGGCAGGTGGCTCTCTGTGAGGCCAGCCTGGTAAACGGAATGAGTTCCAGGGCAGCCAGGGCTGTTACACAGAGAAAAGCTTTCTCTCAAAAAAAGAAAGAAATAAACAAAAACAAAAAAGAGATGCAAATATTTCATCTTGATTAAGCTATCTTTAATGAGTCTTTCAAACATTAAAGAGACAGTTCTGTACAATTCTCTTTGAAATGCAGAGATGAATCAGGTGTCTCAAGACTCCTTAAACCTCATAAGTAAATAAGATTTTATAATATATAGACCACACACTAACTTCTGTGCTAATGAAGTACTCTGCTATCTTGGACAGGAACAATCTAAGTGTTTTTACATACAGTCCCTGCCCAAAGAAAGTTCTGCATCAGGTGAATGAATGAACATGTTATATTCTGTTGTAGCATATAAAATGAGACAGAGGCATTTCTATAAGTAATGAAAAAAGAAGGATGGCTGTGAACTAGTGTAGACAGAAGAGTCTAATTTGAGGTCCTGCAGATTAGAGGAGCAGGCCATGATCTAGGTCTTAAGGAGTGGATGTGGGTTCCCCAGCAGTGGGGGAGGACTTTGGAAGGGGTAACCTGAGAAAAGATATGGGGCCGGGGAAATATATAGTTTGTTGGAGAGGGAACAGTTGACAATAATGTAGTATTGCAGCCCTTGATCTGCAAGGTTAAAAGTGTTATTAATGAGTAGCCACGGGAAAGTTTTCCATCAATACAGTGATATGATGGAGCAGTTACCAACATCACATATCCCCGGCACAGATGAGGAGTGGTTCCAACAAATGTTTTGCTTCCTTTATCTTCACTGTCTTCACTTTTCCCATATTTTATTCTACATGAGTCTCTTGCTCATGCCATTATTTTGGACCAGCTCTGATATGAATAAATAAAGTACAGACATAGCTGTAAATTCTTTTTAGAGTGTAATTTGGTAATATGGTAATTCTCAGTAGGAAACATAAACCATAAGCATAACAAGAGTGAGCTCTTATACCTGCTGGAGAAACGGCTTTTATACAGCCCCACACACCCATACCACTGGGCAGACAGTTCACAGCTACCTGGACTCCAGTTCCAAGGGATCCAATGCTCTTTCTGCCCTCTACTGCCACTGCATGAAAGTGTCTTAGATACAGACAAGCAAGCATACCTGAATGTATAAATAAAAAGATGTAAGGGCGATGGCAAATCATGATGAGTGGTGGAACTTGTAGCTGGCTTCATTTCAAGCACAAGGAGATGGTGGAGAATGTTGAGTAGAATGGGAAATTATCCACAGTGGTATAGCAGAGTCTATCCAAGGCTAAACTGTCAAGTTCAATTTTTGGCAAAGTTAACCTGTCATTTACTTTTAATAAGGGTATATAACATGGTGGTGTATGTCCTTAATTCCAGCACTCAGGAGGTAGAGTCAGATGGATGTCTGTGAGTTTGAGGCCAGCGTGGTCTACCTAAAGGATTCCTGATTAGCTTGGGTCACTGAGTCAGAGCTTATCTCACACACACACACACACACACACACACAAAACAAAAAAAAAAAAACAAAAACAAAAACAAGAAGTAATCTATAAAATATGGCTAGACAAAAGTACATGCTCTGTTCCTTAGTGTCTCCTTTTCCCAAATAGTTTGTAACAAATTAAGAACATTATGTGTGAACCAGGCATGGTGGTGAGGGCTTGCTATAGCAACGTTGAGAGCCCAAGGCTGGAGGAGCACAAGTCTGTGGTTAAATAGTGACAGTGTATCTTAAAAAGGAAAAGAAGTGTACTATGTGAAAATTATTTTACTGGAAGAATGTAATGACCTCATTTATTTTGATATCTAAGGAATTTAAAAACTGGCCAACTCCTGAAAAAGATGCACATTGATGATTCTTACCAAGTTTCGGGCTGTCACGGAGCCTATTCTGAGATGGTAAGTAATGACCTAGGACACAAGGTGTTTGTTTGTGTTATATATTGATCTCATCAGGGAAGAGAGTGACAGCTCCACTTGTCAACAGGCTCTTCCCTCTTCTCTTTTTTCAAAATTGGATGGCAGTGTGCTTTGTTTTGGCTTGGCTTGGCTTTGTTATGAGACAGGGTCTTGTGGAGCCTAGGCTGCCTTGAAACTGCCTCCATATTGAGTAAGATGACCTTGAACCTTGAACACTGCCTCTACCTCCAGTGCTGGGATTGCTGGCACATGACAGGTACTCTGTTGACATAGTTACATTCCTACCTAGCCTGTTTGTTCTTTTTTGAAATCTGTGAATGAAAGTGTTAGTACAGTGTGATTGCTTGTTATGTTTTCTACCTGTATGACTTAAATACCCACATTCCAAAATATGAATTTTGTTCTAAAAGTATTATCCCTATTATCAAACTTAATGCCTAACTACTTAACAATAAAAAGGGGGAAAAAAATCACAATATAGCCCTGATTGGTCTAGAACTCAGTATGTAGTTCAGCCTGTCTCAAAATCTTGAGTCCAGCATTTATAATCTGCTGAAAGAAGGCTGAGTTTGTTTCTAGAATTTGCCTGTTTTTCATTTAAGTAATTGGCATATTTGGTATAATTACTCCTAATCTCTGACCATTTAAACAGGGAGAGGTCTTACGTGGGTTTTTCCATACAAACCATAGATGATGCTTTCTTTTTTGTTACTTTATGGGAATTCTGAGATTTCAGATTACAAATGAATACTTTAAATTTGAGGGCTCCTTGTACGTGTCTGTACGACCTCCTTCCTTGTACCAGCCTTTTCCCAATGGATGGCATGAAGTGTGTCTGAAGTATAGGAACCTGATTAGTCATCTGGATTCATGTACAGCAGTACTGGTGAGGATCTAGAAGACCAGTGTGGAGATCATGTCAGCTGTTGCTATGTGAACAAAGGGAAGCCAGTGGTTATATCCTGCATGTTGAAGTGTCTGTTGATGGTTCCTTCTGCTTTGGTTTTGTCACCACTGTCAGACATACTCTTGATAGTCTGCCTGATTATTTCTTTCCCCCATCAGGGCCTCTTATTTGTTGTTCTGAGTCATCCGTGTGCCAAAGAAAGCCAGGCCTTTGGAAGCCCCATGTTTCAGCTGCTGGTGATTAACCCTAAGACAGCTCAGAGTACGGGTATTCTGCTGTGCTCCCTTCCACAAGGACAGGCCGGGAGGTAAGTGTGTGACTGCTGCTCAAGGGGGAGGTGTTTTGGAAGATGCTATGTAAATATGAAAGCTGGATATTTCTGTGTCACTAGACTTGAGTAGAGTAGAACATGAGATGCTAAAGGCTTTTGGGCTAGAGTTGTTGCTCAATGGTAGTATTTTTTATAGGGGGCCCAGGTTAAGACAGGGTTTCTCTGTATAGCCCTGGCTGTCTGGAACTTGTACTGTATACCAGACTGTCCTAGAACTCAAGAGATAGCATGCCTCTGCTTCCCTGTGCAGGGACTAAAGGCATGCACCACCAGTGCCTGGCTTAAAATATTGTCTTAAATATTTTTTATTGTTTTTTTTTAATTATCTCTGTGTGTGAAGTCTGTGTAAAAGAGTGCAGGTGACTAAGGAGGCCAGAGGTGTTAGATTCCCTAGAGCTGAAGCTATAGGCAGTTGTGAGCCACCTGACATGGGTGCTCGAAACTGAACTCAGGGCCTCTGCAAGAGCAATTACTGAACTGTCTCTCCAGCTCCCTTAAACATTTTCTTTAAAGAAAAACAGACAAACAAACAGGCTCTGACTATATGGAGAGAGGGTCAGGAGTAATAAGTGCACTGCTACTGTTTCAGGGGACCCAAGTTCGGTTTCCAGCATCCATGCCAGACAACTCATAACTACTTGTAACAACAGTCCAAAGGATGTTTCTGGTCTCTGTGGACACCAGTGGTCACTTGCACATACCTACACACAGGCACATATAAATAATTAAAAATAAATATTTTTTTTACAAGATCTAAACTGAAAACCTTTTAAATGAACTTTAGGAAGCTCTTTTCAATATGAAGTCTGACTTAGCCTTTACTGTTCAGGCATTTATTTCTCTTGATAAATATTTGCTTATTTACTGCAAATGACATAAGAGTTTTCTACTTGTATAGAGCTTTGGAACTGTTAGGTGCCCATGCAGGGCAGAAGGCCTTGAATACCCTAAGACTGAGTTATAGGTGGTTGTGAGCTACTGTATGGGTGCTGGAAATCAAACCCAGATCCTCTGGAAAAGCAGCTAGTGCATTTAACCATCTCTCCACATGAAGTACTGCAAACCATCTCTCTAGTTTACATTTTATATAAATACTATAAATCGTGAAAGTTCTTATTTTTGGCCTTCCAGAAGAGGGCACTAGATCTCATTCATTATAGATGGTTGTGAGCCACCATGTGGTTGCTGGGAATTGAAGTCAAGACCTTTAGGAAGAGCAACTAGTGCTCCTAACCTCTGAGCCATCTCTCCAGCCTACCTTCAAGCTTTAAAATTTAGTGTTTTATGTTTAATTAATTTATTTTGGAGGCATGTGTCATGGTGAGCATTTGGTGGCCAGAGATCAACTTTCAGTAGTCACTTTTCTCTCCATCATGTGGGTCCCAGGGATTAAGTATGGGTTTGTTGTTTAGTTTTGCAGAGTGTTACTGGGCCGTTTTGAAGCCTTTGGTGCGAGATCTGACTTGTCTCTTCCTTGTCTCAGGTTCTTGGAAGGGGATGTGAAAGATCATGTTGCAGCAGCAGTCCTGACTTCTGGGACAATTGCCGTTTGGGATTTGCTTCTGGGTCACTGCACTGCTCTCCTCCCTCCTGCCTCTGACCAGAATTGGTCTTTGGTTAAGTGGTCAGGTATAGATTCTCACTTACTGGCTGGACAAAAAGATGGAAATATATTCATGTACCGCTACTTGTAAAATTCAAATCGTTTTCTGGGTATTTTGCCTCCTAATAGTTTTTTGAAACAAAATACAAAATCTGAATGACATTTAACATGATTACTTGCGTGCATGTCCCACAAACTTAATTTTATTTATGGTGGCACTACTGACTGAATATTTGTTTATGTTTGCCCTAAAGTTAATGGTTTTAAGTCCATATTTGCACATTTGCTATTACAGGGGTACATAAGCAGTAAATGTTAATAAATGCTTATTTTGATACATTCTGCTTGGCATGTTCTATTTTTTTCCAGTCTGTTCAGATCATTTTAAAAATAAGAATTACTGAGAAAGATAGCTCAGTCAGTGAACTGCTTCCATGTACCAAACTTTCGTTACCGGAGGGAAATGCATAGTGACACAGCTGTAATTCTAGCATTGGGAAGGCAGAGATAGCCAGACATCTAGGGCTCACTGAGTAGCCAGGCTAACCTAATTGGCAAGATACAGGCCAGTGAAAGACCCTATCTCAAAAAGAAACCAAAAGGCAGATGACAGCTGAGCAGCAGCACGGAAGGCTGTTCTCTGGCCCCGTGTGCACTGGTCCATGTGCAGTACGCAAAGGTTACTGTGCAGCTGGAACATGAGACTATTTCAGCCAGCAAAGGGTACTGTGTACCTCTTGCTTAAGTGTTCTTAATTTACACATGTACACAATATATTTTGATTATATCTAACCTCTTAATTACTCATTTTGTTGTCTTCATGTGTGTGTGCATGCACACATACACACATGCATGCCACAGTGTTCTTAAAAGTCAGAGGACAGCTTACAGGAATTGGTTTTTTCCTTTCACTGTGTGGGACCTAAAGATTAAACTTGAGTTGTCACCTTTTATCTGCTGAGCCATTTCACTGGCCCTGTTTGTTTAAGAGAAGCTGACGACATAACCTAGGCTGCCATCAGGGTAAGATCCTCTTGCATCAGGTTCTCCCGAGTGCTGGGATTGTAGGTGTGCACCACCATGCCCACAATATACCTTTTCTTCCTCCTCCTCCTCCTCCTCCTCCTCCTCCTCCTCCTCTTCTTCTTCTTCTTCTTTTTTAAATAAGGACTATGTACATTGTATAGTCCTGTCTGGACTGCATTTCACCCTGCAGATGAGGCAGGCCTCAAACTCACAGAGATCTGCCTGCATCTCCTAAAGGATGAATTTAAGGTGTGCAATAGCATGCCAAACCTCACAATGTACTTTCAGTGCTGCTTATACTACCTGATTTTCATATATTTGTTAAAAAGAATTCAAAACACAGCAGGAACCTGGAGGCAGGAGCTGATGCAGGGGCCTCAGAGGGGTGCTGCTTACGGGCTTGCTCCCCATGGTTTGCGCAACCTTCTTTCTTACAGAACCCAGGGTCCTCAGCTCAGGGTGGTAATCACCCACAATGAGCTGGGTGCAATAATTACTTTTTCTCCATCAATGACTACTTTTGAAAAATGCCTTATGGCTGGATCTTACGAAGCATTTTCTCAGTTAAGGTTTGTTCCTTTTCGCTACCTCTAGTTTGTGTGTCAAATTGACATAAGACCAGCCAGCACAACAGGTATTTACCAGCCTTGCCTATGCAGTGCCAGCGATTGAACCCAGGATGTTTTCATTCTAGGCACTCTACTAATTTAATCACAGCATCCTCTTAAATCGTAACACAAGTACTAAGGATATGGTCACAGTCTTCATATTGGACCTTTTATTTTACAGGTCATGACATTTTGTGTTTCCCGTAGGGAAAAGGTCTCCAAGATTACATCATTTATATGTGAGGAGGTTTATTATGTTTAACCGAAAAGGTTGAGTGTAAACAAATGTAGAGGGCAAAAAAGGCCTTGAGTACACAGATAAGCACTGGAGAGGCCAGGAAAGTTAAACACAGAGCTTACCTATTCAGTGGAATGAGGGGCATAGCTGCTCTTCCTGGAACACCAGGGAGGATGTAGTTTTACAACCTGGCGATCCTTTGCTGTCTAATGAGACAAACTCTGCCCAGATCTCCTAATACATGCTTTTACTTATCCCAGACCCTTTCCTCCTAAATCTGGAGCATTGCTTCTAGACCGTAAAACACATGAACTTTACAAATACATAGAAGTACAGCCTGAATACCTCTATGTTGTCATAGGGTCAGGCCAATACTGACTACAACAGGCCTCGGTCAAGCTCTCTATACCCTAAATCTTGGGCACTATCTCTGAGTCAACCATACCTATTCTTGGGAAAGAATCCAGCTGTACTTTGTGAAGAATCTCAATGTAAACATGTCTTAAATTAAATGGTGCACTTGAGCCAGGCATGGTGGCATACATCTTTAATCCCAGCACTTGGGACACAGAGGCAGTCAGATCGCTGTGAGTTCGAGGCCAGCCTGGTCTACAAAGTGAGTCCAGACAGCTAGGTCTACAAAGAGAAACCCTGTCTTAAAAAAAAAGAAAATTGTGTACACTTGGGACTGAGTTGTTATCTGAATACTTTTCCCTCAAATTGTGCTATGCTTAAATATGGCTAAAGAAAAATTATCTGGGCCAGACTCTGGAAGTCTTGTTCCAGCATGGGTTAAAGTAAAATTGGGCTGAGCGTTTCGTTCCTGCCTCACCCTGATAAATTTTTCCCTGCCTGCTGTAAAGCCTGCAAGGGAATCCCCACCAAGAACAGGTTCTGTATGGTTACCATCAGGAGATGATCAGAATACAGTCTCACAAGTCTGACTGCTAAGCCTGCTGCTTCTCCAAGGTTTAACTTAAAACTCACAACTTTCCTTTTCTTTCTGTCTTTCTAAGTACTAGCCAAAAGCCTAAGCATGATTTCCTTGACTCGCTCGGTTTTCTATTTCTCTGAAGACCCATCCTCTCTTCTACAGTTGCCCGCTGACCTCCCTGCCTAACACCTGCGTATCTCCCTCCTTCCAGCAGCCATCTATTTGCAACTCACCAGCTTTGTTTCTCTTTCAAAACAGTAAAATGGTCCTTGGGCTTAACAAACAAACGAAACAACAACAATTAAAAAAACTACATGTCTATTGCCATGCAAAGAGAAACTTTCAAGACAGGATTGGTATCTTCAAATATTCTTGCTTTATGGACCAGACTGGCCTCAAACTTGAGATCCTCTTGTTTCTGCTTCTTGAGCGCTGGGACCACAGGTGTGCACCACCACTGTCTGGCACAAAGAAAAATTTTAATTGAAGGTGACTAAATAATTTTAACAAAAACTAGGAGTTGAGCAAGGGGTGGGAGGTAGAAGGGAAACACAGAAGCAGCGCGGTGCTTTGGGCTTCACATGGCCCAGGTCCTCTCTTCCAGAAGCCATTCCCACTCGTTACAGGAAAGGTCAGGATATTTGGTTGATGTCAGTTAGAGGGTAGCTGAAGTCTTCCTGGTACTCTGGCTGTCCCCGATTGTTTTTCGTTGATTACATAATTTTCTTAAGGCTTGCTTGTGATCTTTAAACGAGAGACTAATGAGAACAGATCTCACAGATACCCAGTAGTCAGACTATGTGCTAAATGAATTCCAAAGTTATTACACTAGTTGCTACATCAGGGAAGAAGGCCTCTTTGGAAAGGAGTCTAAGTAAAGTCTGAGATGGGTGTTTTCCCAGGTGATTGGTCCTCAGGGAACACTGCTCTAACCAACAGCACAAACTAATGAGGGTACCCTGAACCCAGGGGTAGATATTGGCTTCAGGCTCCAGAGACTATCACCACTTCAGCTTTCAAAGTGTCAAAATGAGTTCTTATCTCAAAAGCTAGATTAAGTACAGCTGAGACGTGGCATAAAATAGTGGAGAAAAAATGTAGGGAAGGCCTGCAGGAGTCAGGAAAGCAAAGGAGTCATTTTGAAAGGAAGATACTCATTAAACAAAGATACTAGGGAATTTTATTCACTGAGTGCCTCTCTATAGAGGCACTATAGAGGCATTTATTCACATAATGGTTGGCTCATTCTTAATCATACTGTTACCCTAAGTATACTTCTGAGCATGCTCAGTTTAATTAGGAGAGTAGGTAGTTTTAGGTCATAGGGTACGTGTTGATGAGATTGAGAGGGATGAACAGCTTCTAGGCATGCTCCACATACACCAGAAACCTTAGGTGAAATAAAGGAAAGAACGTTGTGTGGAAAGTGTGTTAATATGGGAGCTCTGCCTAGTGGCTAACTGTTATGGGTCTTTACCAGAGTTGCCACTTGCCCATTTTGTTCATTATGTTATTTACACATTGTCCAGTTTTAACTTTTTGCTACACTGAAGGTTGAACCCAGACCTTAGGGCATACAATTCCTTACAAACATACATTATCAAAATTTAAAGTATGTACACACTTCCACATTTATTAGTCTTCAGTTTATGCACAAAAGCACATGAGCTTTCAGGTATTGTGGGATTGGGTTATATATTATTTATCTATTTTGAGACAGGAGCTTGCTATGTATGTAGTCTAGGCTACCACCATTTCCTGACCCTGTTGCCTTTGCCTAGAGCTGGGAGCTGGGAATGTAGGCTTGGCAACCACACCTACCTGGCTACTATTTTTTTTTAAACATAATATTTTATTAATTACAATTTATTCACTTCGTATCCCAGCTGTAGCCCCCCTCCCTCCCTCATCTCCTCCCATGCCCCTCCCCTAGTCCACTGATAGGGGAAGTCCTCCCCACCCGCTTCCATCTGACCCTAGCTTATCAGGTCTCATCAGGACTGGCTCCATTGTCTTCCTCTGTGGCCTTGTAAGGCTTCTCCCCCATCCGTGGGAGGTGATCAAAAGTCGGCCACTGAGTTCATGTCAGTTACAGCCCCTGTTCCCATTACTAGGGAACCCACTCAAATGCTGAGCTGCCACGGGCTACATCTGAGCAGGGGTTCTAGGTTACCTCCATGCATGGTCCTTAGTTGGAGTATCGGTCTTTGCAAAGACCCCTGTGCCCAGATTTTTGGTTCTGTTGCTCTCCTTGTGGAGCTCCTGTCCCCTCCAGGTCTATCTCCCCCTTCTTTCATAAGATTCCCTGCACTCTGCCCAAAGTTTTTCTAGGAGTCAATACTCTTGAAACTATATTTGAGGACTTTTAGAGAAGAAAGAAGTCAGCTCCTTTTTGAATCTGATAGTGTTTAGGGATAGGTGGCCTTATTGCAGTTGCACCACAGTCGCCCTTGTCCTCCAAATGGATGCAGTTCCTCCGGGGGCCGCCAGGGACCGCCAGCGCCCGCGGAGCCCTCAAGCGCCGCTCTGTACGTGGCCGGCGTACAGCGTTTGCCCCAGCTTTGGCGGGAGGTCACGGCGCGGTGCATTCTGGGTTGGCGTAGCCATGGCGGCCCGTGTCCTTTCCGCCTGTGTCCGCCGCCTGCCCGCGGTCTACGCACCGCTGTCCCAGCTTCCCACACTGGCCTTGTCTCGGCCACTCAGCACCACTCTCCGCACTGAGGGAACCTGGAGGAGACCCGGGACTCTGCAGCCCGCCTTGGCCCTCGCGCAGGTGACTCGCGGTGACTTTGCCGGGGCTGGTCAGGGTCAGGGCCCTGGGCTGCTCGGGCTTGGAGGAGGGGCCCCAGCCGGCTGCACAGCTGCTGCAGTGGTGATCCGACACACACGGCTTCTGCCTAACGGGTTTTGGTTGGCTTTTGTTGCGAGGCCGAGTATTAGATTGTAGAACTTTGACCGAGTCTCTGAACAACAAAATTGGGCACCAGCTCTCATTCTGGCGTAGTGGCAGTGAAGTTTAGTTGAGAGAGATCGCGTAGAGCACCTATTGCAGTTGGACAGTTATGATGAAGGCAATTACTGTAGTCACTTCCTCGGAAAGGCTAAAGACAGTACACAAGGAGAAAGCCACTTGCCTACAGTCGCCCTCTCCAGAGTATTCTCTTCCTAGAGTTCTGTCGTGATTTTTCCCTTGTGGCACCTTTTGTCTGTGAGCCTTCTGGATGTAAGGATAAGAAACAAGTGCGTAGCATGCATATTTGATGAAACCAGTGTGAGGTTGAAACTGCAGAGGTCACTTTCAACCCCACATGCCCAACAGAAGACCAGCTAGCTCTCTTCCTGCTCCCCTTCTGACTTCTTTCTCTGGATTCAGGCCCTGGCATGGCATTTTACATTCCCCATGTGTATCCAAGATTAGGAACTACTACTGTAGGTTAGATAGACTCTGGGCCAAGTTGAAGAACCCTTTTTCATACTCATGAGTTTTCTCTGGTAGTGGTTTCAGTCACACCTGCCTGCTATAAGAAATAAGGATCTACATCCGTTGTTGAGATTCGCTGAGAGTGGGATGGATAGATAGGACATTGTCCCGTTTGCTATATCAAAAGGTTGGCATTACAAAGATGTTAAAAGAGCAGTAAAATTGCTCGGTGTTTGGGTCTAGAGACTAATTTCAGATGAGACTAAAATGCAAACTTAGTTGTGCATACAGATCATCATACAAGATTCTGATCCAGTAGGTCTGGAAAGTATTTGTTTTCATGGGCTTTCCAGGTGGGGTCCTGGGTCGGGACCATGCTTTGAACAACTGGTGCTATCTCTGCCTCGTACAGAGAGCAGAGGAACCACTTCATGCTTACAGAATGTTTTGAGTTTAAGTTCCTTCACAGGTACAGAGACAGTGTTTACAAGGTATTTTAGGCTTGTTATTGGGATATGGATGTTCTCTGCACAAATCAGAGAAAGCAAACAGTAAGCAAGGTTTGATGAAGGAATAAGAAAACTTTTCTCCCAATCACACAGCCTAGACAATTTAAATTAAGTTGTCTTGGAAGTTTCTGGCTAGAGCCCAGAAAATGAAGAAGATGAGTAAGGAAGAGTTTTGAAGAGGCGTGGGTTTGTTTCAAACAACTGCATTTGAGGGGTCTTCAGTTCCTGAAGTTTGCAGTGGACAAGTGACAGAGATGGCCTTTAAAGCTGTTTCCGTAAATAATGAAGGGCAGCAAGATGGATTGAGAACTCATCAGTATCAGGCCAGCTCAGAGTCACTGCAGATAGTGCCACCTTTGATTATTAGAGGTGATTTATGTCACATGTGTGAGTCTGGGGAGGAACACAGAAACAAGCCATGTTGACTACAGGGAAGGTGCTTTTCTAACTGAGATCTGGTAGGAGGAAGCAGTTTAGACCCTCCATGAGATAATGCAAGGGGTGCTGGTGCAGGATATCTAACCATCCTATGTCAGTTTCTTTGTGAAAAATGGGTAAAGTGCTTATGGTACCTTAGTCAATCTTTGGGCACTTGTGGCCCTGTAGGAACTTGCCAGGGATGCCTGTTGAACTACTGACACCTAGTGACCACAGAAGTAACAAAGCAGTTACTCCCGGCCACTTCTTTTCCCAAGCCTGGTATGTGCGCTTAGCACTACTGCTCTCCATCTCTTCCACGTTGATTCCACTTCACACCAGCCCTTGATGCTTTTTGTTTCTTGCCTCTGAGACAGGGTCTCACTTTATCTCAGGCTGGCCTTGGAACGCAGATTGGTTAAGAGTATGTTACTCTGCCTCAGCCTCCCAAGGACTAGGATTACAGTCCTGAACTACCATGTCTTTCTAAAATCTTCTTGGATCTTCTTTTCCTTCCAGTTTGGAAATTGAACCTGGGGACTCACTCATGCTAGGCAAGCCCTCAACCACTGAACTACAACCTCAGTCCCTTAACAGTTTCTGGTATCTTTCATACCTTCTTGATATGCACATAGGGCCTCTGTTAGATCCTCCTACCTCAGACTTTTCCGTCATTCTCACTATTCACATATTTCTTCTTCCTTGTTCTTATTCCTTTCTGCTTCATTTCATTTGTGACCTCATTAAGTCATTGTGATTAGTAGGGTCTGGTGGTATGCCTTTCAGAGGCCTCTAATACACAGTTTAAAGGAAACAATGGTTTTAGACACCCAAAAAGTGCCCTGCCATTCTAGACTCAGAAATCCTCTAGAAAAATATCTTCAGCTAATCTCTGTAGTTTGATGATTAAAGAAGTTTGCTGCAAAGTAAGTATATATTAATGAAGAGGTGTACATTGGTCCAATTTTGCTTTGAAGTAGGTTCTTGCTATATATTCAGGCTTGCCTGGACTCTGGATGCTCCTACCTCAACCTCTCACATCACAACATTTGACATCATGGCAGCTTAGGTCATTTTTCATAGACACATTCAGGGACCTGAGTGTCAACAAGCTACCCAGTGCTTTAGCTCACATACAGACATACATACATTTATTTAGTGTGTGAACATGCATGTGAAGGTCAGAGGATAACTTTAGGGAGCCTGTTTTCTCTCTCCACCATTTGGGTTCTGGGAATTGAACTTCCGTTATCAGGCTTGGTGGCAAGCACTTTAACTCTCTGATCCATATTGCTTTCTTCCCTCCCTCCCTCCCTCCCTTCCTTCCCTCCTTCCCTCCCTCCTTCCCTCCCTCCCTCCTTCCTGAGTTAAATATTGAACCCAGGGTTTCAAAACATGCTAAGCAAATTGCTCTACCATGAGCTGAAGACATGGCTCAACAATTAAGAGCAGTGGCTGTTCTTCCAGAGGTCCTGAGTTCAATTCCTAGAACCCACATGGCAGCTTACTACTGTTTATAGCTATACTCCCATAGCATCCCATACCTTCTTCTGGTGTGCAATTGGCAAGTGTACATGCAGACAAAACACCTATATACATAAATAAATAAATCTTTAAAAAAAAATGCTCGACCATTCTGTCCCTGCCCTTCCTTATTTTGAAACAGGTTCTCACTAAACTGCCCTACTTGGCCTTGAATTTGTCTTCTCCTACCTCCCCTCCCAAGTACCTGGGATTAAAAGCTCAGCAGCAGACTCATTTTTTGCAAAAAAGCGTTAGGTGGGTCAGTGTTCCTCCATACTTGGTAAGTGAAATCTAGTTAAGGCTGCAGTACCCAGCTGAGTATAAAACAGACTGACAGCAGAGATACCTGAGACATTATAATAACACTCAGATTCATATGTCTGGTGGTCACAAACCATGCCCATCTGGCAGGGAAACAGGGCTGTGAGCCTCAGCGATGGTGGCTGGTTTGTTTGTTCTAGCCAGAGTCTACTACCAAAGCAAAATTAGACCCTTCTGAGTACCACGGTAGCTGTTAGGGTGGATTGTTTTGTCTCCTATCTGTGTGATGAGTGTGACAGTGCATTGAAGAGGCCATGGCAAGCTAAATTTGCCTAGAACACTTAAGCATTTTTGTGTTAGTGACAGTCTGAGCAAGATGATCTCCAAAGCCAGCGGTACCAGTCCTGATTTTGAGGGTAAGTGACCGCCATTCCGATGCTCTTATGTAAAAATGTGGGGACTAAATGACAGTCTCTCCTTCCTGCCTTTGTTCAGGTGCCTGGAAGGGTCACACACCTGTGCCGCCAGTACAGTGATGCACCCCCATTGACGTTAGAGGGAATCAAAGACCGAGTTCTGTATGTCTTGAAACTCTATGACAAAATTGACCCAGAAAAGGTAAGAGATTTAATTTTTTTTTTAATTTTTTCCTTTATTTCCCTTGTGTGGGTGTGTATATGTACTTGTGCACGTTTGTATATGTGTGTCATGACCTCCATGAGGAAGTCACAGGACAATTTTTTACAGCAGTCAGTTTTCTCCTACGGTGTCTCTCCCAAGGACTGAACTCGGGGTCATCAGGATTGGTGGCAAGCACCTTTACCTGCTGTGCCATCTCACCAGCCCAGTTTTTAACTTTAGCAAATTTAATCACATAGTATAAAATTCAAAGGGTCCAAACAAATATTCAGTTAAAAGTCTGCCCAGCTTCTAGCCAACCAGTTCCCCTACTAGAAGATTGACATTGCCCTTGTATACACACTAGCTTCTTGTGTATCTTTCCAGAGAGACACAATAGATATGTCACACAGTACACATATATGTATAACATATGTATTTGTCTCATTCACTTTTTTATTGGTGTGATTAAACACCATGACCAAGGCAACCTCCAGAAGGAAGAAAGAGTTAACGTAGGGATTATAGTTTCCTCATGGCAAGAAGAATGGCAGTAGGCAGGTAGACACGGCAGTGGAGAAGTAGCAAGGAGCTTACATCTTGAACCACAAACAGGAAGCAAAAGCATGAGGCTTTTGATGCCTCAAAGCTTGCCCCTGTGACACACCCCCTCCAAACAAGGTTACACCTCCTAACCCTTCCCAAATAGCCACCGACTGAGAACCAAATATTCAAATGCCCAAGATTCATGGGGGACTTCTCATTCAAACCACCACAGTATTTGTTTATCTCCCACTCTCTTCCAAAAACACAAATGATCTGGGAGTTTAGTTCAGGCAGAAGCACATACTTACCCAATAGCAGGGACTGGTCACAATCCTCAGTACAAGAAAAGCCTGTAGAAAACCACAGGTGGTCCATGTAACAACTTCCTTCTGCTTCTTGCTTTTTGTTGAAAGGCAGGGTCTCACTGTATAGCCCATGCTGGCCCAGAACTCACATTGTTAGCCTCATCCCCCTTAGTGCTAGGATTATAAAGATGCACTACCACATGAGGTTTGCTTCTGTCTTTTTTGTTTCATTGTGGCAGGGTTTTATATGTTGCTTTGTCCCTCCTGGAACTCTGTAAATCAGGCTGGCCTTGAATTCAGAGCTCCACCTGCCTCTGCCTCCTGAGTGTTTGGATTAAACGCATGCACCACTACTGCCTGGCTCTTTCTTTTTTTAGCTCTTGGAAGTTTTTCATAGTGGATTGTAAACATTTTTTTTTTCTTTAGTAACTGAATTTGTTGTGTGTGTAAGGTAGTTTGTTTAAAATGAAGTTTTAAGATTTATTATGAATACATTATTCTGCCTGCATGTATGCCTGCACGCCAGAAGAGGACACCAGGCCTCATTTTAGATGGTTGTGAGCCACCATGCAGTTGTATTCTTAACCTCTGAGCCATCTCTCCCTTAAATGTAGTTTTTAAAAAGATTTTTTTTTGTTTGTGTGTGTGTGTGCGTATGTGCATGTGTACCTGCCTATGTGTGTGCTAAGAACAGAAGAAGTCATCAGATGTCCTATCATTCTCCCGTCTATTTTGAAGCAAGGTAGCTCTGAACCTGGAGCTCCCACTTTCTCAGCTAGGCTGAAAGCCAGTAAATCCAGTGTTCTCCCTGTCTGTGTCCACTCTGGAGCTGACAGTGTATACCAAACACCCAGGTGTTATGAGGGAGCTGGGATCAGAACTATGGTCCTCAGGATTACATAGAGTGCTTATAACTGCTGGGCCATCTCTTTAGGACCGTAACATGTATTTTAAAGAATATTTCCTGGTGATCTTGGAGTCTACATTATGAGCAAATGAAATACTGTATTTTCTCATCTGAAGGTATGTGCAGTTCATGTTAAACACACCATGTATATAAAGCCCTGATGTTTCTTTAAAAAAAAAAAAAATCTTCTGTGTATGATGAAGTAGCACTCTGTTGTATTGAGAGGCAAACACTTTCGTGGGTTAAATTTTGTTTGGTATATCTTTCTTGCAGCTCTCAGTAAATTCTCATTTTATGAAGGACCTGGGCTTAGACAGTTTGGACCAAGTGGAGATTATTATGGCCATGGAAGATGAATTTGGTAAGATATATACCTTAGCTTTGGGTCTGCATGTTATGCGTCTTTGTTTTTATATTTTTAAGAAAAGATCTCTCTCTGTACCTCAGGCTACATAGCCCAGGTCAGGTGACTATTAAACTAAAGGAAATCTGGATTGGAATCGGCTTTAGTAGAAACAATAGCAGTTGATACTTGCCAGGCTTTGTACTGTCATGTGATGTAAACATTAGGGCCAGCACAGACCAGGCAGAATGCACAGTACAAATAAAGGCCTGGGAGAGCATGGGACCAAGGGCAAAAGTCTTATTTGTACAAATACTGATGACAGTTAAGGCCCTTCATGAGCTTTGATGACAGTAGCTAGACAGCAGTAGCAAGCTATGCTGAAGACATAGCTGAAGTCTGAGTCTCCTGTGATATCTGTCATGCCTCCTCCAAGATGTTTTTATTAAGGTCTGTTTGCTGTGAAAATGAGACTATAAAATGCCCAAAATAGCTTTTTAGCTAGCTCTTCAAGTAGGGCGCAAGGGACTTGTGTGCAACCCAACAGAGCAGACCCTCAAAGATGATGCTAGCAAGAATGATGCTGTTGCTGCCTGAGGCTTACACATACCAGAGCTGGACTGAGCTCAGACATGTGTGAGCTCGACAAGCAATGGCACTTCTCAAAGGTGTTTCCCTACACTGTAAAATGAGTGTGTCAATAGTAGGAGCCTCAAGATTGGTACTGCTGAGAGATCACATAGAAGGTGCTCACTAAAATGTTCGAGGCAAGTAAAACAAACGGAAACTACCAAAACCCAACTACATAACAAGGAACAAAGGGTACAGACTACGGCATGGATGACCCCTGAAGGTAGAAGTCAAATACAAACACCTCATCACCTGCTGCACGCACACTGCTGGCATGAGAGAGCGAGGGGAATACCTAAGACCACCAAGGGTTGGGATGGTGAGGAGTGACCTGATGACACCTGGTTTCCTTTAGGGATGATGAAAATGTTCTAGGACAGTGGTTCTCAACCTTCCTGATGCTGTGACCTTTAAATACAGTTCCTCATGTTGTGGTGACCCCAAGCATAAAAGTATATTGTTATATCATTAACTGTAATTTTGCTGCTGTTATGAATCATAATGTAAATATCAGATACGCAACCCTCAAAGGGGTGGAGACCCAAAGATTGAGAACCATTGTTCTAGGGGAAATTGGATTAATTTGTGGGGAATTAGATATTAGCAATGGTTGTAAAACCTGTGAGCGTACTACACATTACTGAGTTGTGTGATCTTTTTTTTTTTTTTTTTTTTTTGGCTAGGCAGTGGTGGTGCACAGCTTTAATAATCCCGGGACTCAGGAGGCAGAGGCAGGCAGATCTCTTTGAGTTCAAGACCAGCCTATCTACAGGATAGCCAGGGTGATTACACATAGATTACACATAGAAACCCTGGTTTTAAAAAAAAAGAAACCCTGGTTTGGAGGGAAAGGAGAAATTTTCTTTTATGTTAATCCTTTCTTTAAAAAAAAAAAAAACTTATGACTAACACGATACACATATTTTTCTAAAACCTTCCCAGTTCAAATTCAAAATGGGATTGCTGGAGATGTTTAACACAGTTGTGGGTATTTTGGAAGGATCAAATGCAAGCCAAGCCTGGCGGCACAGACCTATAATCAGAGCTACCTGAAATTTCAAGGTTAGCCTGAGTAACTTACTGAGGCTCTGACCTAAAATTCACGGGAGCAGCGGAAGGAGTATCATCTGCACTCATCAGCCTGAGAGGGTTTGCTTTTTCCATGCTCATGTTTTGTTACCTTTTTTTTTTTTAGGGTTTGAAATCCCTGATATAGATGCAGAGAAGTTAATGTGTCCACAAGAAATTGTAGATTACATTGCAGATAAGAAGGATGTGTATGAATAAAGTATCAGGTAAATAATCTGACATAAACCCATGTTCTCCCATAGGATCAATCTGTCTGTAGTTCTTCAATAAAGCAAGGCTCATAAAACGAAAGTTGGCAGTGCCTGACTGTCATTAGGTGTAAAATACAGGCCATTTCTGGTTATCTGCCATTCACAGCCCTAACCCATGATGTGGTCTTTATCTTCAGGAGAGGCTTGAGATCATCTTTCCTGGATAGGAGTCAGCCATCTTCTTAAAAGCAGTCTTACACAAATACTGCATGTCATACCCCGGAGAGAAACCTCAGTCCCTCATGTACCCACCAGCACAAGCATCACCTGCTCATGTGGCCCAGGATTGCTCACAGCTAAAAGACAGAACCAGGTTGGCTGTACTGTTGGCAGTGCTGTGAGCCTGTTCATCCTAGACAAGCTGCTGAGCGCTGAATTTGAGCCCCTGTAAAGTGGGAGTGATGGCTGACCCTATCAGGCCTTTAAAGGTCAAACTGGGTCACAAATGGGCAGTGCTGCCTGTTGGTTGGAGGCCTTAGTTGGCTTAGCTCTACTTCTCAATGCTTAGGATATTTATAGTTTCAGTGCACTGGGCACCTTAAAGATGGCACAGAGAACCAATGACCACACACCAAAAAGAAACCCAACTTGTCTTGTCATTGCCAGAGCCTTCTTCCTCACTGAGAGAACTCCGAGGACACATGATGGCATTGTGACTGACCGACAATGGTTCTGTTGGATTTGTATTTAAATTGTCTGAGTGTTTTGCCCTTTAAAAATAAATCTATTACAAAACTAAATTTTTCTCTATCTTCAGTTTTTCTTTTTTGAGACAGTCTCATTCTGGCCTAAACTAACACAGGCTAACCTCAGTCACAGTGATCCTCCTGCTTAGCTTCCCAAGTGCTAAGATTATAGGGTTGAACCACCCTGGCTCCACCTAATTTTTAAATTTTATTGATGTTACTTAATACTTTTAAAGATATGTCATTGGTAATCATGTATATCAAAAATATAGCCTGGGGTATTGTGATGGGTAGCTGGGGTGAATAATCATAATGATAAAAGGTAGTAATATATTTTGTATGAAAGTGTCACAATGAAACCCATTATTCTGTATGGTGACCAAAAAATAAAGATGAAAACTGTATGACCTACACAAAAGCAGTGTTTCCAGCAGTGTACCTGAAATAGGCTTCCCTCTCCCACCACCTCAGTACATGGTGGGAAAGGACAGCTGCTCCACTGGTTTCTGCCTCATTACCTCATAAATCAGATGCTACTGGGCTAGTTCCCTAAAACCCTTTCCAAATTATGAGAGTTGAAGTTAGAGGGAGAGCCAGCTCTCCTGGGGATAAGCATGGCTTTAAACATTACTGTTTCGTCCCACATCCACTATAAGTTCTGCCCTCACCTCCTATTTGAGACATGCTCTCTGTGTAGCCCAAGCTGGCCTCACACCCATAATCCACCCTCCATCTTCTGAGTATTGGGAGTAATGCCTCCACACCAGCTACCCTTTTGTTCTCATCACTGTTTTTCGTTCTTGGGGTTGATGTAGGTAACATGTTTGTAGACAGGAAGGGAAGCAAGAGCCTACAGAAGGTGGTATCAATGTGAGGAACTGAGGTGAGTGATCCTCAGCAGAGGCTTCTGGTGGATGAATGGTAAAAAGGCAGGAACCAGCTCTACACTGGGCCTACCCTCAGCACCCTCTTTCTGAAGTGCCCACTCTCTGTTTCCCTAAAGTTATTTTAGACATGTTGACCACACTTGTTCCTTTTAGTAATAGAAACCATTTGTTGTTGGTGTTTCAGGGGTTTTCCCCTATGGTGCTGGAGATGGATTCCAGGGCAGTGAACGTGTTAAGAGAAGTGCTCTGCCACTGTGTTACACCTTCAGCTACCATCTCTCCTTTACAATCTAATTACAGCATTTCTTCCTTTTTCCTCCCTTTAAACCTTCCCATATGCCCTTGCCTACTCTCCTTGGTAGGTATTACATATATACCTATTTATTCCTAAATAAAACCTGCTCAGTCCATATAATGTTACTTGAACATATGCTTTTAGGGCTGACAATCTGGTACTGAAGCACCAATTGGAGTGCTCTTTTCTGGCGAAGACCATCTCTCCTGCTTCCAGGTTTCCTCAAGTGCCTATTGTTCTGCATGTAGGGTTAGGGCCTCATGGGTTTTCTCCTTTTTGCTTTGGCCTGTCCATTAGTGTTATCTTTGTTCAGCTCACATTTGGGCTGTCATGTTGGTGACACTTTATAGGTATACAGTTAAAATATGTAAAGCTGCCATCACTTAGAATTTAAGAAGCTTATTTTTTTACAGACACCTTTATTGCACAGAGAGCTTAGTATTTTGGCAACCAAGAGTGAACTACATAGACTGCTGACTGGAACTTACTCCAGGTCATTTTAGTAACATTCTCCTAAGTTGTTCTGGGTACTTTAAATCCCAAGATAGTTGAAGATTTGGCCAAAGAGCTGGGTATGGTGGCACATGCCTGTAATCCCAGCACTAGGGGAGGCAGATGCTGGTGGATCTCTGAATCAAGGTCAGCCTAGTCTACAGAGAAAGTCCAAGACAGCAAGGCTACACAGAGAAACCCTGTGAGGGGAGGAAAAAAAAAAAAAGATTTGGCCAAAGAATGCATCTGGATTGTTTTTGCCAAAGACCACTCTTCTAGCAGCACTGATATTAGGGCAACTTGTCATTGACCTCTCACCACATCTGGCTACATCACTCTGGGTGAGCTAAAGTTCACTGGCTCACACATTTAGGATCTTTGCTTAAACAGTAAGCACCTTTCTGCTCACCAGAATGTTTTTGGTGAGGATTCTCTGCTCTGATGAGTAGTCAGCAAACTGACCACATACAGCATTCCAATTTGTGTGCAAATCAGGGAACAGATTACATGCATTTAATGAGTAAGTTTTGTGTGCATCTTCACAAGTGTGTTGTGTCAGAGAACAACGTTGATTCGAGGTGTCTTCCTGCACTGTTCTCTACTTTAATATGGAGGCAAGGTCCCTTGCTTGCTGTTTCAGCTAATGTAGCTGGCAGCTTGTTTGGGTAATTTCCTGTCTTGTGCCTTGGGTGACTCCTTGTGGCTGGGGCTGGAGCTCACTGGAAGAACAGGTACCTGCTAGAATGCACAGGGCCCCAGGTTCTACACCCAGCACTGGAAAAAATAAGACCTGGAACCAGCCGTTTTCCAGGCGTTGTCTCCTAATACCTCTAGTTCAGCCACTTCAGTCTCCTCACTGTATCCACCAGACAGTCCCAACAATGAGCCACCAGGAGGTGTCTGGAGACCTTTAAAGTTTACATGACAGTATGTACAATAATATAAGCTAACCGGTGCTGATGTACTAACGACACGTCACCCACCAGGTGTTCTTGCTAAAACCTAGTAGGCAGACTGATGGTGAAGGAGTGAGTCCAGAAGGCTGCATACTCTGTAGTCTGAGCTTCTAACTCACAGGAAAAGGCAGTATGACTGTTCTAAGAGAGATGGTAACTTTGAGAAACTTGGAGCTGGAAAGCACTAGGAAGAAAACATCTGGGGTAACTGGATTGTATGTATGTGATAAGACAATGTTAAATTTCCAGGTACAGCAGTCAGAATAACTGTACTGCCTGGAAATACAAAATATTTAGGAGTAAAGCATGTCAGCAGCTGGCTTTGAAATGATTCAGAAAAAAAAAATGCTAACTGGTGACTAGCTAGGGTAAGCCTTTGAGTTCACAGTACTGTATGTATGTATGTATGTATTTATTTATTTATTTATTATTTTTTGTGAGACAGGATTTCTTTGTGTACCCTTGGATGTCTTGGATCCTATTCTGCAGACCAGGCTGGCCTCGAACTCACAAAGATCTGCCTGCCCTTGCCTGATTCCAGAATGCTGGGATTAAAGATGTGCACCTCCACTACCCAGCCACAGTACCATTTCAACTGTCAAATTTGCCAAAGGATGGGAAGAAGCTTCAATATACATTTGAAGAGGACTGTACTGAGGACTGGTAACTGGATGTCGCCAAGGTGTGCATCACATCTGTAATCTTAACTGTGAGCCCCAGGCTGGCCTAAGACAGAAACTGTCTCAAAAGGTAACAGCAAACACTGGGTGGGCTTGGTTGAACAGAAACAAATCTGTAGAATATGGAAATGTTGCTGTTTTAAATAAATATAAGCACGCATGCCTGTATGGAGGTGAGAGAATTGGAAGTTCAAGATTACCCATGGCTACACACTGAGTTCAAGGCCAGCCTGGGCAACAGAGTATCTTGTCTCAAAACACTGAAGTGAAGAAAAGCAGTATGATCCTCTTTGTATAAAACATACCAATGTGAAAAAACAAAAGATACCAAAGTATGAATAAATAATGGTCAAGACACATCAGAGGAATATATAGTTAACAGGTAAATTTCTAAATGTGCTGTTAATAAATGAGGAATGAAATCAATATTGTAAAAAGGGTAAGAAAACTGATGTGGTTCAGCCAAGAACTGAAGATCTGCCTGGAAAGGCTCTTGCAGGCAGTTAACAGCACATAGGAAGGACAGCACACAGAACATAGCAGGAGCAGTAGTTGAGTGCAAATCCACGTGGCACACAACTCAGCTACCTAAGAAATTCAAAGCCAACTAGGGCCACAAGACCCTGTCTCAAAAAAAAAGAAAAAAAAGATCAGTAATAATAGGTGGGAAATCAGCCTCTGGCTCAGGAAACCTATAGGGCATAGCCTAGATGGTCACCTGCAGTTAAAGAGGTGTTAGTCCACCAAAGGGCCTTACAGTCTGATTAAGGAACTTGTTGGTCACTGGGATTTTCTGCAGTGCAAAGATCAAAGACTGTAGACACATAGGGTGTGGTTAAGAGGATGAACTTGATGGCTACTTCAAGAGCTCCAAAAGAGAAAGAGATTTGGAGACTGGGATAAAGTAATGGATGGAGAAATTCTCTGAGTAATTGTTGTGAAAACTGTTTCAGCTGTTCACACAGGTAAGTTGCTACTAAAACCAGGAATAATAAATGAGGGTCAGATTCTAAGGAGTCATCATTTCCCTTTGGGACACGGTGAATTTGTGGGATACCCAAGCAGGTAACAGAGAAAATGAGCAAAAGCATAAGCAAAATTCCATGCTGGAATGGAGCCAGGGCTCACAATCAGGGTCTGTGCAGTTCCTCCTCACTTTACCAAGTTGAGTTAAGGCTGACCCTTTGTTCCTGGAATGGGTCCTCATGTGCTAAAGCCTAACATGACTTCTGTTCCTTCAGCAATAGGTCAGCTGGGGTTGAGTAGATGGGGAAACAGACACACACACCTATCACTTGAGATTTCCTTATCAAGTGCAGTGTATATGATTTTAAGTTTTTAAAAAGGTAATAAAGCCAAATAAGCAAATTTCAGACTTTTATTAACAATAAATCCAAAGAATAAATGCCAAGGTCAAAGTTTCAGCAAGCAATCCCCAACATGTATCAGTAAAATCAGGGAGGCAACAATCAAGCAAAATAGGCAAGAACCACTTTTCTTATCCTCAACAGTCAAGTGAATGGGTGCAGATATCAGCATCAGGCAAATCTGGTTTCTGAGTCAGCTGGTTAGACAGGCATGTGATTGTTCTCTGGGTTGAAATGAGGGTACTAGAAGGGATGTGGCAGATCAAATAAGTGCTGACATGACAGAACCTGAAATGCAGTGTTTAGAGTAAATCTTACAGAGAGAGCCGCCAGAGTCCTCTCTGGCCTCCATTCTTCTCTTGAAGGCTGGAACCCTAGAAAAGGTGTATCCAAGCGGCATTTATCCATCACATAACCAGAGGTCGAAACCCTGTAAGATGACCCGTCAAAGTGTTGTGACCGCTGAACAGCCAGAGGTCCACAACGAATGAGTGACACTTATTCACAGTGACAGTGTCTGTCTGAGGGTAACTAACACAACACCCTCCTGTGGGGTTGCCAGAAGACAGGTTCCCACACCTCAAAGAACACAGCAGAACTAGGCAGTACATGGTCAGTTGCCTCACAACCTGAGTGGGCTATCTGCATTGGGGTGGGTCTGACACTATGGGTTTCTGTTATCAGTCAAAGAGCCCAAGTCCTTGGCCTAAACTCATATGAACGCAGTTTGTCATCAAGAACTACAACAGAGCTGGGCACGGTGGTGCACACCTGTAATCTCAGTACTCAGACAGAGGCAGGCAGATCTCTGTAAGTTCGAGGACAGCCTGGTCTACAAAGTGAGTCCAGGATAGCTAAGGCGACACAGAGAAACCCTGTCTTGAAACACAAAACAAACAAAAAAGAACTACAACAGTCTCCAGTAATAGAGCATTGGAACCTATGTTTTAGACGTGGGTACAACCATAGTGATCACTTTCAAAAGTAGAACATGGCCCTAAGTGGGTAAGAGGGAAGTCCCCTGTTAAGCCTGCCCAGGACCAAGCAGGACATAGTGACACACCTATAATCTTAGCAGTTGGGAGACAGAGGCAGAAGTAGAAGTAAGGGGCAAGGCTACCCTCAGCTTCAAACTGAGTTCAAGGCCAGCCTGATCCACAAAACAAGGCCAGTCGGAGCCCTATGAGTAAGACTCTGTTTAAAAAATAAAAATAAAAAAAAATAAATAAATAAATTGGACAGGAATATTAATAGGAGCCAGGCAGTGGTGGTGGCACACCTTTAATCCCAGTACTCGGAAGGTAGAGGCAGGTAGATCTGAGTTCGAGACCAGCGTGGTCTACAGAGTGAATTCCAGAATAGCCAAAATTATACACAGTGAAACAGTGAAACCCTGTCTCAAAAAAAAAAAAAAAAATTAACAGGAAAAAAAAATCTACAAATGAAGTATTACTGACACATCTTTATATGAGACAGCATTCATACACCCTTATTCTTAGGAGACACTTATATAACCAGAGGCAAATGTCTCCATCTGCATGTCTGTCAAATAATTCATCAGCGTAATAAACTGGTCTGATTAAAGAGCACATGTGGAGCTGGCCGGTGTTGGCACACGTCTTTAATCCCAGGAGGCAGAGGCAGGTGGATCTCTGTGAGTTCCAGGACAGCCAGAACTACACAGAGAAACCCTGCCTCAAAAAACCAAACCAAAGAGCACATAAAGACAATACCATAACTTCTGGGTAACCAAGTGTGAGGCATGAGGATGCTAAAAGATAGGATAAGTTTGAAAACTTTCCAAACAAAACAGTGAGAGGCTGTAAGAGCTCAGCAGGTAAGGATCTTCCTACACACACCTAGTGACCTCAGAATCCAGGTCAGTGTAGAAGAGAAAATCCAGTCCATAAACTTAGCCTCTGACCTCCACACAAGGCTGCCTTGCCAAATGAGACCATGTACACACAATACAAAAATAAAAAGTTTCAAGGGCAGAAAAAAGCAAAGAATTTAGATAAGGATAGAAGGCATAAAAGGGGCATAAAATTTAGTTGCAGGATGGAGTGAACAAGGAAAAGTTGGAGAAAAAGCAAACAGGGCTTGAAAATAAAAAAGGACCCTGGTTAACTGCATCAAGGCAACAAGGCTAGGTTAGTCAGAGGGATAGAAAAGCAGCCTTGGCAGTTTTGTGTGGCAGAGCTCTCACGTCAGGAAGCATCTCACTCCTAATTCTCAGCTGGTTTTGGCTCAAGAATGCAGAGAAACCCTTGTCTTCAGCTGTGAGGACTATCTCCTTATAGGGTCTCTACTGTGGAAATGGTTTTTATTAGTCCAATCTTTAGGAATATATTAGTGGGCCAGCAAGACGGCTCTGTGGCTTACCCTGTAGCCAAACCTTTCCAGCCTGAAACCCAAATGGCAGGAGAGAACTGACTTCCCAAAGCAGTCCTCTGATTTCCACACATCATGGTATGTGTGCACACATATGATATGTGTACAAACACAAAAGTGTAACAATACATTTTAATAAAAATACAAAACTGAACCTGGTCATCATAGCACATGCCTAAAGTCCCTCAGGAGAGTAAAGTAGAAGGATCCTGGGTTCCAGGCAGTTAGGACACTTGCAAAACCTATCCTCACTTTAAAAAGAGTGTTGCTTTGGAAGTATGAGGTATTAGCAAAATAGAAAACTGGGAGACCAGAACCTTCAGGAATACTAGCACAATGGAGGGCAGGGGGCAATGTCTGTGTGAACTATGCCACATCCTGCCAACTGTGACCCTTTCTGTCAAGGATTGCAGTCTTGTCCGATTTCTGGTGACAGTTTTTCCCTCCTTTCCTTCCTGGGTCCTTAGAGCTGTGCTCCTGCTGTTCTGCCACTGCTCTTAAAGGATATCCTCAAAGGCTAGATGGCTGGCAAGGGCACAGGGTTCCCAGTTAAGATAGAGAGGAAGGGAGGCAGCTTCTCCTAACTAGAGGCATGCATGGCAGAGAGCTGCCCCAGCAAAAGGGTGATTGAGTGGCAAGCTCATTACTCTGATACTTCAGACTCAACCAAACCACCTTGTCAGCTGTTTGAGAGAATAAACTTGCGTATAATTACTCAGTGTCATACAAGTCAGACCACAGCTGACAAACAGATGGCTCTGGGCCCAGTTCTAAACATTGGTTAAGTCCCCAGAACAAATTAGGCGCATGAAGAATTGGAAGGAGAGAGAGAGACGCAATTAATTATCAAACTTTAATTGATAGACTAATCTTACAGAATAAACAATAAGACAGCTAGTCAAGATTACACATTCAAAAAAAAAAAAAAAAATCCAGCAGCGCAAATCTAATAGACTAAATACGTTCATCTCCTCCCAAACAGGCATTTTGATTTAAAAACAAAGAACAGAGTGTACACCACAAGGAAACATAGTACTTACATACTGTCAAAACCTCTGCAGAACTCTGTAGGAAGGGTAAAGAAGGTTCTCATACACCAAGAAAGCAGGTAAATCCACCAGCTGTCCTGCACACTAGAGGGCTCCTGTCCACTGTCACCTCAAGAAGCCTTCTAGGCCTTCTTGAAGAAGGAAACAGGCCTGATCCTTACAGGAAGTGACTTTACTGCAAAGCCTAAAGACAGAGGGACCATCCTTTCCCAAGGGAACAGGGCTGAGCAGTGGCAAGAAGCAAGAGAAAGTTGGCTCCCTCACGGTTGGGTAGAAAGAAGGCCTGACCTTCGCATATGCCTATCTATCCCTTCCCTTCTTGGCTCCTGGCAAAGAAAAGGGCAGGCCAACTGCAGTAGCTCACAGCGTTCCTCCAGGCACATTAAAGAGGAAAAATTTCCTTCTGGGTGAGACATGGCAACTTCTCTGAGACATGGCAATGTAGCAAAGTTCATCTCTTTGGCCCCCGTAAGGGAAAGCAGCAATCAAGGAGCTACTTTAGACCTTACCAGGCAGGCCCCTCCTATGTCCACAGGATGCAAAGAAAGTGCATCTTTAGCCCAGTCAGACTTCATCTAAGAGCAAAGCTACCCACAAAGGCCCACCATGGATTAAATGCTTCTCGCCAAGCCCTGCAACTCTGAGTCTGTGCTCTGAGCTGAGGGACCCAGGCTCATCAGCAGTTATGTGGTCACATTTTTCTGCCAAGTTGCCTCAGGTAGGAAAAGGAAGGTGGCCCTGCAGAAGGGCCACCAGTACGCCTGTAGATGGGAAAACAGCCCTCTGATGGCTACAAGCTCAGGAGAGGCCTCCTCATGAGCATGACTCATCTCCCTAGTGTCATGTAATGCTGCCAGAGGCATTCTCCTAGAGAGCCACCTGCATGCCCTCTCATCTGACAGTGAAGGAATTGTACAGAAATAATCCTGAGGGAAAAAACAAACTGTGATGCTGCCTAAAGGGAGGAGTATTCCAATTTGCTCACAGATTTAGTCAATATACTCCACATGGTAAGAAATATATAAAGACTGTTCACGGACTGAGTGACAGAATTAAACACTGCTGTGACCCAGACGATCTGAACACTTATTCCCAGGGCTTCTGGTGCTGCCTGCACCTGCCCTTCTGAGTTTCTGGCAAGGCGTTCCAGGCTGACAGAGTCAGGAGCCAGAGCTCAAGCAGATTCAGCAAGCTCTGGAAAGCAATACTCGAAACAGCTCTGTACGAAAAAGTGTCATTTACATTATTTATAGAGAATATCTCCAAGTAAGGAAAAAGCACCATTTTACTAAAAATAAAAAGGCTCACAGAGGCTTTGGTCCTCTTGAAATGACACCAGCCTACGTGAGAAGCAGTTTGGCCCTTGGGCAGCAGGGGAACAATGACAGGGCATATGTACTGGGAGGAGGTGGCAGAGAGCACTGGGACCCACACAGAAAATACAGGGCTGGCAGGAGGGGCCTCAGAGTCAAGGTGGGGACACAGGAGGCCTGCTCAGAGAGACCAAAACTGGGTATGTGGCACTGCCAGACAAGTCTCAAGGACTGGGACATTGGCAACAAATGACAGTATTCAAGCCAGGAAGATGCTCTACCTGCCACTTGGTCACTTCCTTGATAGACCTGCCAAGTGCAGGAGGAGGCTGGGACAAGGAGCAAAATGCACTTTCTCCAGGAACTGCAGGCCAAAAAGAACAGAAAATCCACAATTACCACTGAGGTGCTGAAACACAGGCAGTTTCTTGGACACTGCACTTCGCATACGTTACTTATGCGCCCAAAAAGCAGAGTAGGTTTTCCTGTCCAGATGCAAAACTTGGCACTGAATACACCACAAAAAGCAAGAGTCTGTCTATGTGGGCTGGATTCCCAAACTACAGCTTAGAAGGGAAGGGCATAAATATCGTCATTAACTGGCTCACAAGGAATAGTCATCTTAGGTGAATACATGCGAATACATTTCACAGGATGAGGGTGGCTAACAGCTTAGAGTCCAAAGTGTGACGCTGGGAAGGTTCTCACCAAACCTTACTATGAGAGCCTACATCCAGTGAGAGGAGAACTGCAAGGACAGCAGCGGAGAAACAGCAAACAGCACGAGGGGGATCATCCACCAAGAGACTGTCCCTCATTTCAGAGTGAGTCAACCACGGCTCACGGAGAAGACAGCAGTTCACATGTACAAAGAACATCAGGGCTAAAACCAGGAGAGCAAGCTGGTCCTGAAAGCAACTTATCCCATCTCTGTTGTTGGAATACCACTTGCGACCCACTGGGTCAGAGGTCTTCCACGAGAAAGGCAGCATCTATGAACCTGGGATAAAGGACACTTGAACTGAATGCATGAGCAGAAGAACCGAATGGAGAAGCATAATTCAAATAACCACTGGACTGCTTTGAGAAGTTCTGGGAGGCTTCCCAAGAGTGTGACCTGTGACTATATGGCAAGCTGCCTCCTCAGAGCAGGGGGCCTTGGAGCAGCAAGTCCTAGGCTGTGGTGATAGGCAGGGCCTCAAAGCCAGCTAAAGGGAGGCTGTCAAAAACCAAACCAGGAGTGGACTCCCCACAACAGGGGTCCAAGGGCAAGATGGGTACATGGGAGTCCAGTGAGAGCTACTCTGCTGCTCAGTGAACACCACAGCAAGGTGGGAGCCCCTACACCAAGACCACAGCTGCTCTTTCCCCATGTGCATTCCCAAGCAGCAGCACATGGGAGAGAGCCTGGCAAGGAGGCGAAGACGAGGTACCAAAAGAGAAACTGGCATCTTTGGGTTTAAAACAAAATCATAGGGAAGAAAACATTTAAAAAAAATTATATCTGAATCAATGAGCACACACGCACAAAAATATGGCTTACTAACCGCCCCCATTTTGCATACAATTTTAACTCCAAAGGAAAAAAAAAAGAAAGAAAAAAGAAAAAACAACCCGACTCATCGTAACACAGTCCAAATGTTTGCAACCAAAGACATCTGAAGATTTCAGTTGAAATCACTTCTAAAAACTAGAAAAAAAGAAAATGAGCAGAGAAAAAGAAAACAACCAGAAAGCTTTTGATTATTCCCTCTCAGCATTACTGGCAGATCTACTCTCAAACAGACTTAAGAGTATTCCACACATGTTCGAAACTTGGATTTATTAATTTCCACCATACTGACTTTAAAAATGGTATGAAGCTGACTGCAAGAAAGGGAACCGGTGATTTTAAGTTCAAATTAAGCTAATGGTGAAAGTACATCACCTCTGGCTTCAGTCACCACATCACCTCAGATTGAATAGAGATTTTGTGTGTGTGAACAAAGTCCCAGAACTCTGCAATCCAGGGATGCTGCAGACCTCTCCCGGCAATGTCCTTCACTTTGGGTCAGTCTCCTGGGCCAGAGGTGAAAGTGCTTTCAAAAATACTGCCACTTGCCCAGCACAGTGTCTTTGATTGCATCCACATATTGAGTTGGAACCCAGTACACCCAGTAGTAAGAGGCTTCCGTGGGGCCCAACTGAAACGCCTGCAAGGGAAAAGGAAAAACCAAGCGATGCTTCAGAGGAGGGTGACCAAGCAGGCAGAACAACAGACGAGGGAGGGGAGCAAACTGATTAAAAAGGGAAAGAAAATAAAACCAATCTGTGTACACAGGGCAAAGTCTCCTATGCGTAAAATGGGAATGAGGGATGTGAAAGTGCAGGTGGGGAGGGGAGAGCTCAGTTCAGCATAGCCAACTTTAAGGCAGTAGTTTGCAAACCTCAGTGTACATCAGAGCTATTTGGAAGACTTGCAAAAATAGATTGCAGGCTCCAGCCCCTGGGTTTAGGTTTGGGAAGCCTGAGGCAAAGCCCAAGAAACTTCTAACAAGCTCCCAGGTCATTCAACATTACTGGTCCAGAGGCCACAGTTTGAGAAGTGCTGCCCTAGAAACACCACTCACACACAGGAAGCAGGTATGAATGTCCAAAGCACACTGTGTGAAATGTTAAAATCCTGACAACATACATACCCACCAGGAAGGAAGGGTACCCATAACTCACAGTGGTGTGGCCTACTCAGACAAGTACTGGAGTCTATTGTTAAGATATGAACAGATCCTTTGGATCTAGCCTTAGGACAGATCACAATGTCAAACCCAAACCATCAAACTACAGAAGAATGTGTGTGTGTGTATATATATACACACACACACACACATATACCATGATGGATTTATGAAAACTGAAAAAACACATCACAATACTCCATCTTGTTCATGGACGTATGTATAAACAAAAGCACTGATAGATGAAGAACATACATGACAGATTACAATAATGGGGATGGGGAAGACAATGGGGACAACATCACTGTTGGTAAAAAATTTTTATTTAAAAGACTTAAAACATGTTACAAATTATTTACAACTATCATATTTTGGTGATGTATGGGTTATGGCATAAAATTTAAGGTGTGTCCTTTTCTATATCTCTGAAACATAATTCTAAAAATCAACGAGCACTGTGAACTGTGACACAGTACTCTAGCTAGACAAATGGCATCTGCAAGAGGGAAGTAAACCTTTCATTAGGTAAAGGGTAAAAGTGCTATTTAATGGCATTCAAAAATGACAGCAGAGGCCTGCTGAACCCACTTTTGGCCTTAAATGACTTCAGAACACATTAATGAAATTTAATTTAAACAAACTCTAAACCAATATTCATGGACACAAACTGCTTAAGAAATGTCTAACATGGTCCATTCACCCTATCTGTCTCCTTATCCCCAGGCTGCCTGAAAAACTGGATCTGCAAGCCCCAGAGGGTCAAACCGTTCAAACAAATGTTTCAAAAGAGGTGAAAAGGGTCAGGCTAAAATATCAATAGCAACTGTTAAAGCAGAAAAATAAGTGAGCAGGCAAAACCGATCTGTCTGCTATCTTGTTTTAGAGATTACAAAGAGGTAAAGGTGTAGAGGCTGCCTGATGGCCCCAACTATGTTCTCACCACTACCAGGAAGAAAGTCCAAGAGCCTGTGTCCAGTGACTACAGTCCCATGGCCTTGCTTTGGTACCACCCAGCTGACCCTGAGCAGGCAGGAAAGGACACAGCAGCTCTGCAGACCACTGTGTCCTACGCCCCTCCAACTGACTGCCTTGGAGCAAGTAGATTACCCAACACATCTCTGTGCCATGGACTTGGTAATCCTACCTACAATTCAAACAACTGGCTGTTCCTCATAGAGGTGGGTGGGTGGGGTTATGGCCACATCACTCTAAGCTAGATACTGAAAAACTGACCCTGGAAGACAACAGCAGGAAAACCTACCACTGAACTGTTGCTAGCCCAGGTCAAGTGCCTCTTGTAGCAACTTTGGAGTCTAGGCAGGTAAACTCCATTTGTAAAGTGCTCATTTTACATTTTATCAGCTTACTAAACTGCCTACTTTGTTCTGCACAAACTGATGAGTTCCATGCAGAATAAACATGCTCTGCACATGGGCACATGCTGGGCATGGGAGACCACTACAAGAGGGAGACTTCTTGGTATCTTCACAGCCCCATGGCTAGGGGGAATGTTCACTTTTATAAGCAAGACAAAACTTAAAATGAAAATTCTACCCTCCTTTGGATAGCTGGGAGACTGAAAAAAAAAAAAAAAAAAAATCAGAACAAAACAAAATACCACAACTGGGAACACAGTGATGGACACAACTCTTAAGTAGACAAAGGTCTTTAGACAGTCTTCTGAAGACTGTTTTCTTTTCAGCTAATTGCCCTGTGAAAAATCCTCTCCCAGCAAGATGAAGCATAAGCAGGTGGCCAGGCAGGCTGAGGCTACTCACCATCATGTGATAATCTTCATGTCCTTCGATAGGTTCACTGACCACATTTTTAATGGAGCCCATAGGCAGTTTCTCAGTCCGCTCTAGGTTGAAAAAATGACAGCAGTTACTTTTAGAGGTCTACCTGTCCCAAATCCTCCTCAGCCACAACAATTTTTCCCATACCAGAGCTAGCTGGACATACAGTAACTCTGGTGGAAGGCACCACACCCTCTGGGGATGAGGAACAGTGGTATCTTCTGACCAAGGCACCTAAATCCTGGTAGGGAGCTGGGAAATATGGAGTACAAATGGAGAACAGGGTTTGGGAATGGAATGTTAAACTCTGAAGGCGCGTTTACCTGTCTTGTTGATTAATGATGACTAATAACACCTCAAAACTCCTCTGTTTTCATAACCCAAACCCAGCATCAGCTAAGGTTCTGAATACCTAAAAAAGTCAGGAGGTCGTAACAAAGAAGCAACAGGAGGAGTACACCAAGTTCCAATGCTAGTGCCTGGGCCAAGACTCACCCAACCCTCTATAAACATCAGTTTACGGTGGTCTCTCAAAACATTTATGCCCTCAACTGATTAACACTGGAGACACCAATGAACATGGGGCAGAGAACATTTTATAGCAGGAAAAAGGAGGCAGCAAATATGGCAGGCCTGCGACGAGGTGAGCCAAGTGCAGCAGACAAGTGTAATGGTGGGCAGGCATGAGGATCTGTGCCACAGGAAATAACCCAGGAAGCACCAGATAACTGAGATGCAGGCAGGTATTGTCATGAAACCATTAAATCAAGGTGAGAAAGACTCCTTATAGTCTTTGCAGGAAAAAAAAAATCTGGAAAGGCAGACAAGTAAACAAATAAGTTACCAAATGGAAGTAGAAATTTAAGAGCCCTGAGCTCTAGTGTTACCAGTGACAATATATTTTACTTCCATAGGCTTTGACTTCAGAAAGCTGGAAACGGGGAAAAGGGACCTGAAGATATCTAGTCTGTGGCTCTACACAGCAGTCACAAACAGTCAAGACCAACAGCATCGTTAAGATTGAGACTTAAAATACTTTTACTTTGAAATGCCTACAGATTTCATACAATCATAAATTTCTGACTTTTCCTCAGATTCCAAAGATTAGACCATGCAAAGCTCACAAAGCAGATAATGGCAATCAGCTAAGAGCTTTGACTGCCTGACAAGCAGGGTGGAGCAGCTGACTACAAGCCCTCCCAAGCAGCTCCATGGTCTCACCCTGCTTTTTCCTACACAAACTACAGGACGTTGTGTGGCAGCCTTGAGGGTCCCTTACCCAGCAAAATACCCAAGGAGAGGCCAATTAGCTACTGGGACAGTCATTTCACAGCAGCTTCATACTGAAGTGAAGACAAGCCAGTGGCTTTTAGCCAACTCCCTCAACAATCTGTGCTTCTGCCAGTTCTTCTGATGGTAGGTGCCAGGCCTCCTGGGCACACATGGAAAACCTATTCCCCCTAGACTGCTGGGTTGGTAAGGAAAGGTCTGGCTCAGAATGAGTGCACCCTTATCAGCTGTGAAAGGCACTAGGAGTTCATGGCCAGGTTCTTTTAATTCAGCTCAAATCTCAGTACATCAGGGTGCTTCTAGAGCTCCGACCTCACACAAAAGCAGGAAGCCAGCAGCTCTCAGAAGCTCAAATAAAATCTCTAAACCAGCCATGGTAGTTCTCATGATTTACTTAGTACTCAGTAGTCAGGAGGCTAGGACAGGAGAATCATCAAAGTCTGAGGCCAGGTTAGGCTTCAGTTTCCTCAAAAATAACAAACAACATGTACAGTTTCATACAAAAACAAAAACAAAAAAGCAAAAAATAAAAATAAAACAAACCCACAAAAAACTATTCAAATGACTCATTAAACACAAGACTTGAGCCCAAACTGGATTCCTTGCCTGCATCCACCCTCTTGGACACACGGCTTCCTAGACCAGACTGCTGAGCTACTCCGAATTTGGAATGCCATCAAGCAGAGAAACCCAGCTATAGAAGAGAGCCATGTTTATCAGCAAGCAAAAGTAGCAAAGATGAAGTAAGATCACCGAGAAAGCCCAAAAACAGGGCAGCTAATCACTGGCAAAGTAGTTATGACAAGCTCTTCAGAATAGAATGTTCAAACAAAGCCCACCCAAGCCATTGGACGACTGGAAAAAAACCTTTAAAAACTTAGAAAACCTGTGTGACCAGGCAGTAAGAGTTGACTGAAATGAACAACATAGTCAGTTATCACAAAATGAAAAACTCAAGCACTTTCAACACCTCGGTCTGTTCATTTTAAGAATCGCTAGGAAAAAAAAAAAAAAAAAAAGAATCGCTAGGGCTGAAACAGTGACTTGTATTCTAGATTCATGTTTTAGAAAAGCCACACTCCCACCACCCTGCCCAAGTTTTAGTTCTAGAAACTTGGTTCCATTTTCTGCAACCTGCCCTTGGAACCAACAAGTCTCAGATGATGGGACCTCTATTCTCCTCTTTGGCATTTACCTCGAACACTGAATACCTACAGTGCTGGCCAGAAACAGGTCAATTAGGCATGTTCAGGTCCCTCCAGGAATCTAACGGGGACAGACAAGTCGGAGAGTCATGAGTGCTTGGAGGACACAAACAGAGTGCTCGAGGAGCGGAAGCAGCGGCAGTTCAAGTGGAGGGTTAGGAAGATGTCAGGAAGGCTTTGTTAGGAAAGGGCATGTTGGGAGGCCTTGGAAGACTATTAACCCCAAGGACTGAGAAGACATTCTAGGGTAGGGCCCAGCAAAGGGTTATGCAAACCATGAGCTGGGAAACTGAAGAATGTGGCTCAAGTACATAGGGGACATGAAGGCTGACAGAACAGGCCAAAGATTTAAAGTGGGTATGCTTTGATATCTGAACCTGGCCTTAAAGAGCTATAAAGGTTTACAGGCACAAGAAAACAAAACAAAACAAAACAGTACAGCAATGAAACGACCAAGGATGATACATGGGTATAGGGAAACAGAACTGGTTTCTAATGCAACTTTTAAAAGATACTAGTATAGGCTGGAAAGGTAGCTCAGTTTTAAGTGCACTGACTGCTCTTCCTAGAAGTCCTAGGTTCAAATCCCAGCACCCACATGGCAGCTCACAACTGCCTGTAACTCCAAGATCTGACGCCCTCATACAGCATACATGTAGGCAAAACACCAATGCACATAAAATAAAAATAGATTATTTTAAAAATGCTAGTAGCTAGTAGAACTGGGGAATTTTAGAGACAGGAACACAAGCCAATCCTGGAGTGTTACCAACAAGGATTTGGTAGCGATGGTGCACACTTTTAATCCCAGCACTCAGGAGGCAGAGGCAGGCAGATCTCAGAGTTTGAGGCTAATTTGGTCTACAGACCAAATGCCAGGGTTATATGAAGAAGGCCCACATTTAAAAACAACAAAAACAAAAGTTAACCACAGGGAAGGTTAGTGGGCATGGTCATAGATGCTTCCCAGAAACAGCAAGGTTAAACCACATACTATGCACAGGCGGGGAGTTGAATGACAAGGATGAGGGTGTCTATAAAGGACAATCAGCAGACAAAGGGGAAATTCTCAGCAACAATTAAGGAAACTTCACTTCTAGGGTCAAACTGCTAGGCAGGCACCATGAGCCAAGCTCACTAAACATAAGACAGGACCACAGTGAATACCACTGCTCAGTCACAGTCCCCCAACGCCGTGTGAACAGTGCAGGCTCCAGTGGCCAGATCTTTTGATGTTTTCCAAGAGAAGCTCCCATTAGTTTCAGAGAAATCCAATTCGTACAAACTATGTATAACCTTTACCTAAAGATCAGGCTTGGGGTCACATGCTTGGGACCTCTTAGCTTGTATGTAACTTAAGGGCCAAAATCTGAAGAACGGCTTCTGAGATTGGACTGAAAAGAATGAGGGAGATGGGGCCAACCAAGAGGCAAGCATGGAAAGACACAGTCAAAAGACAGGACCACAGAAAGCATGTGAGGAGTAGGGCTCCAAATGAAAGGCAGAATCACAGGCAGGAGCCAGCACTGCTGGGTGCTAGAGGCAAGCAGGGTGCCAGGATGCCAAGGAGGCGGAGAGAACAGAGTACCTTTAGTGCCGATCCATAGCTGGTCTTGCTCTAGCTTAAAGGTGAGTCTCACTTTCCCTCCAGACTTATTATACATGCCAGACAAGGGTACTGTTGGCAGGCGCTCCTGGAGGCACAAGAGCACAGTGAGAAAGGGAGGGGCAGTAGGACAGAGGGAGATGAGACAGAATGTGAGGCCATGATTACAGCAATCTTAGACTGTGAACTGGCTCCTTTTTAGGGGCTCAGAAAGCAGGCCAGCTTACCTGGGCACCCTTAACAGAGGGCATCACATCTTCAGGTTTTCCTTTGTCCAACACTTTTCTGTGTTGCTACAATATAAACCAGGAGAGAGAGGAAAATGAGACAGCTGATTACATTTGAGCCAGGTTTCTATCTCTTGAATAGACAGGATGAAGCAGTCGTAATGTTTATTTGAAAGTTTTTACTATCAACAGACTATGGATCCCTTGACAAAGGAGAGCAAATGTGTTCAAAGGAGTTTGTGTTGACAACGAAATATTTCATACCTGTGCTAGCCACTGGCCTCTGAATACTGAGCCCTTTACTGTGGCTAGCAACATGAAAAAGTGACGTCTCAATTTTGTTTAAACTTAACTATCCATATTATCCATAGCCACCATGTTAGATATAAGTTCCACAGACTAAGTGGGACTTCAAGGTTCCATATCTGCATGTTTGACTCCCACCTCTCCAGTGGAAACACTACTTCTTAAGGTAGGAGGAGAGCAACACTGCTTTCTTCAACTCCAAAGAAACCATGAGCTGCCTGTGTAGGTCTAAATGCCAAGCAGGGGCACTGCTCCATTATTACGGAGAGCCAGACTACGGCAGAAGTCTTCTCTGCCCCACCTTCAACCCAGCCACAAAGAAAACCAGAGAAACCACATTTTGAAAACAGAAATGCTGACTACCCTACCATTAAGAAGCCTCCAAGCCCACCCCTTTTGCCCTCAAACTTAGGACTCAAGAGTTCTAAGCTCATAGCTCCTAAATGCCTTCATCTCATCTCCTTTACATGTGTAGCTTTATAGGTTTAGTAGCTGCTCACCAAAGCTGGAACTGCAGGCTAATAAATCAGCCAAAGGTAAAAGTTACTCAAATGCAAGCACTAACAGGCAATGGGCCAACTCAAACCTTCACTGGCAGAGCAGAACAGTGTGGTAGGGATTGTGAGCAAAGGGCTACTGCTGACATCAACCTCACATTCTGGAACACACTGATCAAAAGCCTAGTGAGGGAGTAGAGCCTCATTAGGTCGGACTATGCCTTTTAACTGGTGACATCACCAAAGCAAAGCAGCACAGCATGGAAGCATAGTTTGAGTCAGGCCTTATAAGCACCTTTCAGAGAATTGTCCCTGCACTGTGGTGTACTCTTAAGCCTGTTAACCTACCATTAGTAACCCCAAACCTGTATTTATAAGGCAGGTTATGTGCTAAGGATATGACAGGAGAAAATACTCACATTTCTTTCATAAATGTGGCAGAGGAAGACAGAAAATAGCAATGACCTCAATGGATTACAGGAAATTAGGACCCCATATTTAGGGATGAAAATGGCTCATACAAATATTTACTTTTCAATGATAATTCAACTTTACAACACTTATCTAAAACCCTAGAGAGGTGCTGCTTTGCAGTAAAGCATGTGTTATGTATTGACAAGGTCCCAGGTTCAATCCCTAGCACTAAATACAACACATAACAAATACCATATGGAAAGGTGTTTTAAACTTCAGACTTTGAGAAATTTTGTAGAGATAATACAGTTTTAAAATATACTGCACAACATTCTCTATAGTGTCTTGGGTGGGAACTTGTCACCAAGCAACATTTCTTTCAAACACATCAGTATTTCCAACAAAAAACATTAAGGAAAAAAAGTGTAACTGTTCCCACAATTCTGTTCAATTTTGCTGCCAAATTTGTAAAACTACTTCTTTTGGCCAAGAAGTAATCACTGATTATGGATGTCTAAAACAAAGCCATCTTTCTCCTACTGTTGGCAATAGGCCTTTAGTGTCTGCTGTCCCTCAAATTAATGTTAATTCAAGTTAGATCTACTCTGTTGAGGACACAGAACAGATAAAAAATACATGAAAGTAGGTTGGGGGAGCTCAATGTAGAGTTCTTGCCTGCTATGGCGCACAAGTCCCTAGGTTCAGTCCTCTGTATCATACACACTAACACAAACCTATAAACAGGCATGACGGCACATGACCAAAAACTCAGAACCAGGGAGACAGAGACAAGAGGACTGCTACAAATTCCAGGCCAGTCTCCAGATCAAGCTTCAGGCCAGTCAGGGCTAGAGTGAAACTCTGTCTCAAAAACCAAGCACACAAAACGAGCAAGAAAGATAATATAAAAACTCAGGCTACATCATGGAAAAGGACCATAATAAACCCAAAACAAGTATCAATATCTTCTTATATAGCCTGGTTTGAGTTCCTGAAATGGTCAGTTTTAGGAGACCCTCTGCAATCTGTCAAGTTCTGTACCTATCCAGAATTGAGCTTTCTAAACTTCAGAAGGCACACAGACAGAGACAGACAGACAGACAGACACACACACACAAACAGTTGTAAAGAATAAGGGCTTAATTCTAACATTGGTCATATTCTCTGGGTCTAAATAAACGAAACAGAAGTCTGATTTCTTTTGCTAACTAGCTGAAGTCTCCCTTTACAAAGGCCTTATCCTAAAGCAGGAAGACTAAGGCACACTGACCCGCCAGATGACAAAGATGCATATTTCAGGTAGCTGTCAACTCCACTCTGCTGCACCCAACTGCTCCATAAATTTCCATCATGGGCCCTGTCCAAAAAGGAGCTTATTCTAGGGAGAATGTAACCAGCCTCCAATTTCCCAGGACCAACAAGCAAATACATGATGGACTCACCTTCTGCCTGCAGAGGGGCTCCTTCTTATTTTCTTCAGCCTTTGCCTCCTGCTGAGCAGCATCTTTGGGGGTGTTTACTGCTAAAACATCATTTATAGTAGAGCCAACCACCATGATCTTGGCTCCACTGGTCACTTTTATTTCTCTCAATGTCTTATCTTCAGGAACAAGTCCCTTATACATGACCTTCTGCATGGCAGGTGGGAGACCTTGACAGAAAGTGGAAGGTAGTGAAAGGAATAAGCAGGAAATGTATGGACCATCACCCCTTCAAAACAAAACAGGAAGCGAATACTGGCTCCATCAACTATCAGACCACCACGACTATGTGATGGGTAAAACTTGGTCCTTCTACAAGTTATTTAGATTTGTTCGATGTGTCTCACCTATAACTCTTTCCAAGTTGTAACTCAACCTCTACTCACTTAAATACGGAGAATTCCCAAGTGTCAGGGACACAGAAAGCCAGTTACTGTTCTATGGCACTTAGAGACTACATGGAGAAAACTTAAAAAATAAATTATCTCGAATAGCAAACCCATATAAATAAAACGACCAAATACGAATAATTGTCAAGGGCCCCATGACAGTCAATAGCAATGTTTCACAAACTTCCCTTCTGAAACTTAACTATCTGCTAAAAATAAATCCCTGGCTAAATCCTAGGCCCACTCAGAATCTCCTGTAAATTTAATAAAAGCCACGGGAGACTTTCACTAGCAACGATAGTCCAACATTCGTATGAGCCTGACATACAGATTCAGGCTTGCGTGAAAACTTCAGAAAACTGCAGGGAGGCTACTGGGAATCTATGCAAGAAAAGCACGAACAGTCTAGCACGACGTAAGCACTAAGAACTAGAAGGTAGGGCGGGGGGTGGGGACGGTTGGTTGTCAGCTTCTGGAATACCTGTAATGGAGTGAATCTTCTGCTTCAGGTCGGAACCCGTGCTGTCCAGAGGGACCTTCACGTCGTGCTTGGTCTTGTTCCAGATTATCTTCAGATCCACCAGCTCCCTGCCCGCACCGCCACCCGCGTCCTCGCCGTTGCTGACCGAGGCCTGGGCCACGGGGTCCCCAGGGGGTTGGGCCGGGGCCGGCTGCAGGCTGCCTCGCGCGTCGCAGGCGTCCTCGGCCGCTGGCCCCGACGCTGCTTCGGCCTCCACGCAGTTGAGGGGCCGTGCGGGCGCCTCGGTGGCCACAGCCTCGGCCTCCGTGTCCATGCCTGGCTCCTCCATGCCTGCAAAGGGGTTAGGGGGTGGGCGATTACCACGAGCACCGCCGGGACGAGAAGGAGCCCGAGCACCGCCGCCGCTGCGCCACGCCCCTCCCTCTAAGGTCAGGGCCCGGACACGGACCCCGGTGGCGCCCGCAAGCTCTTCAGCCTCCGCCCGCCCGTCTTCCCCTCCGCACTCACCATCCGGGGCTCCGGCCGCCGCCATGATGATTGTGTACAACACCCACCGCGCCCGCAGGGGCCGCCGGGAAGAAGCGAGCTGGCTGAGATTGGCCCCCGCAACAGCCCCTAATTTCACACAGCCTGGCCGGAAACAGGTGGAGGTTTCTATGGAGACCCGCCTCCTCCGCTTCCCGGGCCGGCCCCTGCCACGCTTTAGCATTCCCGCAGCCGAGGCGGGGCGGGTCTGGGAAATCGGCCGCTCAAAGCGCTCTGTCCCCTAGCGGCGGCGCAACACCGCCCCTGCCCAGGGAGGCGTGAGCGGCCCGGTTAGGGAGTCCTGCGTCTTTAAATGGCGGGGCCGCGCTCGCTGTGGCGGAACCTGATTGGTTGGCATGCGCTTTCCCCGCCTCGCGGAAGTGACGCGCAGAGAAGCCCACGTGTGTCTTTCTAGTCCACATGGCGGTGCTCCTCCAGAGGCTTTTGCGGGCCGAGCCACGCGTGGTGGGGGCTCTCGGCCGCCTCGTGGGACGGCGCGAGGCCAGTCTGGGCCCACATCCTGGGGCCGCGGTGCGAGTGCGCTTCGCTCCCAGTCCCACAGGTAATCCTGGCGGACGTGACGCCGCGCGCCGCAGCCCACCGTCCCGTCCCGCCCTCGAACATTCCAGAAGCAGTCCTTTCCGGTGTGGTCTGCGCGACCCCATTTTACAGAAACGGAAATGGAGGTCCAGGATCCGGAGCGGTCGCGTTGCTAGAAATTTCTTTGTTGTGTTGTCGCTGTCCTTCTTGGATGCACTCAGCGCGCGGTGCGTTTTAGACAGTGCCAAGTCCTATGCGCCAGAATGCGGTGGTCATTGAAAAATCAGGGTTTCTGCTTTGAAGGAGCCGGCATTCTACTGATCACCACAAACACTTAGAGTCACATGTTGTCATTCTGGAAACGAAGCGGCATAGGGTGCCCCAGAAGGTATTGTGGAAGAGGTAACATTTGAGTTGAGAACCAGATGTCAACAAGACCTGCTTGAAGCCTAAAAGGAAATGGCTGGCACAAAGCCTGGGTTTGCTGGCAGCTTAGTTTGCCAAAGGAAAACAGAAGTCTACTGTATGTACCCCGTTATACATACTGTCATCTTCTATTTACCATAAGTTCCCAACCTTCTTTTGGCTCAAGCCAACTTTCTGCGCACTTCACACTGAGCAGCCAACCTTTCTAGGCCCAAGGTCAGCAGAAAAAGATCTTTGTGACAGAGGCCCAGGTACATAGGGATGACACATTACTTCTGGTCAGGCAATATAGATCATGGGACTTTAACCATATGTGGTAGAAACCTTTTTTTTTTTTTTTTTCAGTACAGGTAGCCATGGCTGTCCTGGACTCCTGTTGTAGACCAGGCTGGCCTGGAACTCACAGAGATCCACCTGCCTGCTGGGATTAAAGAGCGTGTACCTCCACAACCGGCAAAAGTTTCTGGTTTTGGCTGGTTTTGGTTTTTCAAGACAGGGTTTCTCTGTGTAACCTTGGCTGTCCAGGATCTCTGTAGACCAAGCTGGCCTCAAACTCACAGAGCTGCCTGAAGTCCTGGTTCTTTATTACCTGTTGTGATTCTGTGTTTAAGACTAATATAAATGAAACTACTAGGAAAAAAAAATGAGTGTCTCAAAAATGTAAAAATAAAAGCTTTTTGCTAGTTTCAGTTGACATAAAACAGCTTATCAAATGGCTGTACATTTCTAAGCCTTGACTCTCTGTTTCTGTGTTTACCTATGGTGAACTGGGATGTTCACCTTCTTTGAAGAAGCACTTAGGTAGGGCACCAAGCCCTGGCTTTTTCTGCATCCACATTTCTGTCTTTGCCAATCCCTAGATGCATCACTTTGGCAAAATTATTTGCTCTGTTTATGTCCCAATTTTGCTGTTTGTCAAGTAAGGCTAATAGTACCTGTGTGATGGTTTTGAGCCAGTGCAACAGAGCCACTGAGCAAGATCTGCTATGTGCAGTAGTCTTTACTGCAATTACCATTTTCATTCTTTGCTGACTGGAAGGAAAAGCCCACATGGGAAAAAACTGTGAAGCAGTGTGGACGGTAATAGCTAAAATTAATTGAAGGTTTACATTTTTGGGTTTCTTTTTGTTTGTTTGTTTTAATTTGGAGAAAGTTTCTTGTGTGGCCCTGGTAGCTTGGAACTCACTAAGAAGACTGCTGGCGTTGAACTTGCAGCAATCCTCCTATCTCTTTGCCTCCCAGATATTGGAGTTACAGTCACCAGGCCTGGCTTGACGTTCTATTCTGGTCAACATTTAGGAATCACAGCAGCCTCATGATTAAGAAGGATCCAGGCCTTTCTGTTTTGTCAAGACAGAGCCTTATGTATTTCTGGCTGGCCTGGAACTTGCTTTGTAGACCAGGCTGTTGCCTTCAACTCAGACATATTCACCTGCCTCTGCCTCTATAGTGGTGATTATAGGTCCGTGTCACCAGGTCCAACCTGATTTTTGTTTTTGAGCCCACTAACAGGTCAATACATTGAAATTTGTGAAAGCTAAACGATCCCCAAAGGTTAGTAATTTTTTACAGCTTTTTAAAATTTATTTTTAATTTATATATTTGCTTTACATCCTGGTCATAGCCCTCTCCCTTCTCTCCTCCAGGTCCCTCGATCCCACCATCTTTCCCCATTTTCCCTCCCCTTCTCCTCAGAAAAGGGGAGCCCCACCACTACCAACCCACCCCAGCACATCAAGTCACATCAGGACTTAGCTCATCTTCATCCACTGAGGCCAGGCAAGCGGTCTCACGAGGGGGAAGTGATTGAAAAGCAGGCAGCAGAGTCCATGTCATAAATAGCACCAGTTTAACTTACTAGGGGACCCCATGAAGATCAAACTGCCCATTGGCCTACGTCCAGTCCATGTCTGTTATTTGTTTAGTGCTTCCATCTCTTATTCCCCAGGGGTCTAGGTTAGTTGACTCTGTTGGTCTTGTGGAGTTCTTGTTTCCTCCAGGTCCTTTTATCCTTAACCCCCTACTCTTCCACAGGACTCCTGAGCACTGCCTAATGCTTGGTTATAAGCCTCAGCGTCTGATTCAATCCATTGCTGGGTAGAGTATGATTATGCTAGGCTACTGTCTGTAAAGCAGAGTACTGTTAATGGTGTCTGGTTGGCTTTCGCCCATAGAGTGGGTCTCAGATTTGGCCAGGCATTTGGTTGGACATTCCCTCAGTCTTTACTCTGTCTTTAACTCTGCACATCTTATAGACAGGTAAATTTTGGGTCGAAGGTTTTGTAGGTGGATTGGTGCTCTCTCCCACCACTATAAATCCTACCTGACTAGAAGGTGGCCTACCCAGACTCCACCTCACCCCACCCCCCATTGCTGGGAAGCTTAGCAGAGACATCCCCATATTCTTCCTGTAGCCAGCCCTGTCGAAGGTCTCCAGCTTGTCTCAGAGATGCCCCTGCCCTTAGTCCCTTTTCTCTCCAAGCCTTTTCCCCTTCCCTCCCCGGTTAGCAACTTATTAATGGGCACATAGTTATTTTTTAAAATTTTATGTATGGTATATGTATGTGTTCTTGTGGGTATGAAAAAAGTCACTGAATCTGGTGCTCACTGATTCCCTTAGGCGAGTGAGCTACAGGAATCTGCCTGTAGCTCACTACGGCCAGCACTAACGGCTGGAGGTCTGGCTCTGTAGTGGGCTGTGGGGATCTAGACTCAGGTTGCCATGCTGTGTAGCAGGGCCTTACTGACTTGAGCCGTTTCAGCCCCTGACTATAGACTATATGCTATGAGGTGGGGTTACTTTTAATCTCTGGTCTCCTCTGGCTTGACATTCCTGGGATTCTGTTCCACTGAGAACTACTTGTTTTGTAGGTTTGCAATAATTTGCTGAAGGTCTCACACAGAATCACTGTTGGGCTAGGTCTGCCTGATAACCGAAAGAACATTTCCTGGTCTGTGTTTCTTTGGATACCTGGAAAGGCAGATGAGGTTATTGTAAATGTGAATGGCCTTATATGACGATCTAGGGCCCTGTGCTGGACTAAATAGAATGAAGGAAAGGGGAAACAGCAGATGTGAGAAATTTTGAAATTTTTAGTCAGTAGTAACACTTTCAGAGTTTAAACCCCAGTGAAGGGAAATACATCAAAATCAAATGTTGCTTTTAATTTTGATTACTTATAACTAGCACTCAAATAAGGAAAAATTTAAGTTGCATGATGATGCTAGACTATCTGCACAAAATGTGATTTTTACAGGATTTAAATGTGTTACTAACATGTAATTAGCCCCTCCTTGCCCCTGAAATACATCATTAGATTAGTTTAATACTAATATGATCTGGCCTCTGAATAATTTTCAAACAGAAAATGCTGCTTCTCCTCTTGGTGAAACTTGACTTTAAGGCAGATGTCAAAGTTGAAGGCTAAGGGTACTCGGGAATACTTGGAGCATTTTTATGTGCTGACAAGCTCCTAGACCTGACACCTGGGTGTTCTCCCATTCACAAGATGAAGAACTAAATGCAGTCATCCACCCTGACCTTTAATTGTTCTTCTGTTGTTGTTGTTGTTTAAGATTTACTTATTTTGAGCCTGAGGTGGAGGGTGGCACTGTAGCACATGCCTTTAATCCCAGCACTAGGGAATCCCAGCACTTAGGAGACAGGGGCTCTCTGTTGAGCTTGAGGTCAGCCTGATCTACAGAGCATGTTCCAGGTCAGCACAGCTACACAGAGAGACCCTGTCTCCCCCAACAAAAAAAAAAAAAAAAAAAAAAAAAAGATTTTTATTTTATGCATATGAGTAATTTGTCTATATATGTGCACTACATTTGTGTGTGCTAACTGCTGAAGTCAAAAGATAGTGTTAGATTCACTGGAACTGGAGTTATAGATGGTTATGAGCCACCACGTGTATGCTGGGCACTGAACCTGGGTCCTCTGGAAGAACAGCCAGTACTTGTACCCATTGGGCCATCTCTCCATCCCCACAGTGTCCTTTTCAGTGACTGTCTGGGTGTCAACCATAGATATAGGTCAATCACAGTCAATTCTTAGTCTTAACACTTTGTTGGGACATTCTTGTTTGCACTACAGCTGAGGCCCGTAATGTAGCCTTTTTCTCTGTCCAGTCTGATCTGTTCTCTTCTACTAGGCTTCTTGCACCTGGGTGGGCTCCGTACTGCCCTCTACAACTACATCTTTGCCAAGAAGCACCAAGGAAGCTTCATTCTAAGGCTGGAGGACACCGATCAGAGCCGCCTGGTACCAGGAGCAGCAGAAAACATTGAGGACATGCTGGAATGGGCAGGTGAGGCTGGCAAAAAAAGAGTCTCTGGGGAGGAACAGGAAGCAGAGGAGGCTGTGGATCTTCTCTGTGGGTTCAAGGTGGAGAATGAGAATCCTGGGAAAATAAATACTTCTATACAGTCTAGGGTGGCAGGTGCTCCCTGTAAAAATGCCAAGGCTCCCTGAAGACAAACTCTGTTTGTTGCGGGATTCCTGTTCTTATCTCAGTCACTTACGTCCATTCCCTGCAGAGGCCAGGCAAGAAACAGGCTCATTGGAAACGAGTGGCTAGGCCAGCTCCTGTTCCCAGGAGAATGTGACCTCACCTGTCCAGCTTTAAAGTGCCAGGAAGAACCAGAAAACCTAAGAGTGTGTGTGTGTGTGTGTGTGTGTGTGTGTGTGTGTGTGTGTGTGTGTGTGTATATAGAGATAGGGTCTATCTATGAATCCCTGGCTGTCCTAGAACTCACTGTGTAGACCAGACTGGGCTCCAGCTCTGCCTCCTGAGTGCCAGGATTAAAATTGACATGTTATGAACCCCCATGCCTAGCTGAATTCTCTCTCTCTCTCTCTTATTTTTTTAAACATACCTTCTTGTCTTTTCCATTGCTCATTTTAATCTAATTTTTGTTTACATTTATTTGTGTGTTTGCACTTATGTGTGGTCATAGACAACTTGTAACAGTTGTCCTCCTTCTATAGTGTGGGTTCTAGGCATTGAACTCCAATTGTCAGGCTTTGCAGCAAGAGTTTGAGCCACCTTGATTGCCAATTTTTTTTTTTTTTAAATGAATACCGTTAGGATCTGAAAATCCAAAATAACCCAAGTAGGCCCAAGAGTCCAGCAAAACAAGATTTTTATTTCAATTAGGGAGCAAAAACTGACTAGTCAGGGACAACAGCACAGACTTGGGATCTTACTGCATCTTCGAACATTATCTTAGCATTTAAGCAGATGACAAAAGTTTATTGTACTCAGGCTGCTGCTGATGGATTGGGGCCACTGAACAGACTGGGAGCTGAACCGCAACTCAAGCCAGAACTCACAGTTTCACTACTTTCTTTTGTCTTTTTTTCTTTTTTTTTTTTCTTTAATTTTCCAGACAGAGTTTCTCTGTGTAGCCTTGGCTGTCCTGGACTCGCTTTGTAGACCAGAGTGGCCTCGAAATCACAGAAATCCACCTGCCTCTGCCTCCCAGAGGGCTGGGATTACAGGCATTCGCCACCACACCCTGCTAATGGTACAGTTTTTCAGCTCAAAACCCACAAACATCTGTGCCAAGTTATAGTCACAATTTCTTTGTTTGTTAGTTTTTTTCTAGATAGGATATCTCTGTATAACCACCCTGCCTGTCCTAGATCTCACTCTAGACCAGGCTGGCCTCCAAAACAGAATCATTTGTTCTTTCATGATTAGGAACAATCTGTTTTTGAAAACAAAAGTAGAATAAGGAGGAAATTGTCTAGCCATCTAGAAACCTCCCCTAGAGCCTGGGAACTTGAACTTACTTTCACTTATGATCAAAGTGGAGTCTGAAAACAAAATGGCAGTACTTAGGAGAAGTCACATTTATTTGATCCCAACACACTGCCCATTGTTAAACCTAAGCTTGTATTTATTTTATTTTTAATCCACATCATTGTGAGCCAAACGAAACGATGCAGTCTCAGGAATTGATTTTTTTGTGGCTAAGTTAATCCTGAGTATAACTAGGCTTGTTGACATTTAAGGAGTGTATTTGAGGCTCCTGAATTATCCCAAACTCCTATGGGCTCCTACTAAAGACAGGCACTAGAGAAAGTTAACACCCTTAGGAAAAATACCAACACTCTTGGAAGACATATACTCCCATCTCCAGGTAGTTATTCACTAGGCTCTAAGTTTCTAAGTAGCAAAAGCCCGTTTATTTTTGACTATTTTTAGAGAGATTTTAGTATACATACATATTTAGTTGAGGTTCATTGACTAAAGGAATTTATTTATTCAATAACATCACTTGGATCCAGCTGCTTGCCTCAGCATTGAAAATGCTAGGATTGCAAGTATTAACACTACACATACCCAGAATAATTCTTTTTTAAAAGCAGTACTGGGGCTCCAGCTCAGGGCCTGTGCATATTAATCAAGTGCTCTACCACTGAGCTGTATCCCAGCCCTGTAATTTATGCTTAACTTGATACTAACTTGTGATAAGAATTCTAGAGAAAGGGCTAGGGAGATGCATCTGTGGGTAAAGTGCTTGCTGTGTAGGTATGAGGACTTGAGATTGGATCCCCTGGGCATTGGTGAACCCAGGGTTCTAGCCAGGTTCACTCCAGGTCCAGTGAGAAGGGGGGAAAGAGATGTCTAAGTGGTTAAGAATATCCACTTTTCTTGGTTCCAACACCCTTTTCTAGTCTCTGGGTAGTATACAAGCATGGTGCACATACATACATGGAGGCAAAACATTCATACACAAATAGATTTTTTTTAATCTTAAGAAAAAAAAAGAGGTGAGAAGCCTTTTAGGAAGACACTTAATATGTACATGCAAAGCTACAGAGAAACAGTAACAGGTCAGAAAACTGAGAAAAGGGTAGTCTTTCTGATGGGGATGTTTCTCTGGGCACAGAGTGTTGAATGAAGGGGCTAACTCTGGTCCTGCAGAGTAGAGTAGATAGAATCAGATGCAAACGTTCTGTGAAAAGGAGCAGAGCTGAATGAGGAATGACAAGGAGGTCAGTATGGCCCAAAGACTGCAAGAGAGCCAAATGACTGGAAGTGGGAGGGCAGTGAATTCACTGAGTAAACGGAGGCCCAGATGAGAACTTCAACTTGATGGGGCCTTGCTGCACCAGGAGTTGTGTAAAGCTTATGCAGAGATCTGCAGGTTTCTGGCCCTGCCCTCCTTGATCATCCATTATAACACTGTCGTATAAACGGAGCCTGCAGCAAGCTCTTGGTCTTGGTGTCATATTGCTGCAATAGACAAGTTCCTAAGACAGATGACCCTGATTAAGCTAAATGAGTCACAAAATAAAACCACGTCTTAAATCTGGAAAAGAGAATGGTGGGGATGGGGAGGTATTAATAAGAATGGGAGGCAGATAAGAAAGAGTGAAGGGAAATATAATAAAAAATATACATACGTGAGAATCTCAAGAATGAAAATAATAAGAAAAAGATGGAGATCTTTAAAAAAATTAGACATTTTGATCTGGAAATGATCCCCAAATTTACCTTATTCAGCCATGCTTTTTCCCCTCTCATTTTCTTTCTTTTGTTTCAGCTTGTTTGGAGACCGTGCCTCAGGTGTGGCCTTAAACTCACTATGTTTCCAAGGGTGGACTTGAACTCTTGATCTTCATGAGTGCTGGAGCTATAGGCATACACACTATGCTTGTCATTTTCTAAGGACATGCAACGTTTTTTGAGAAGTAGAGTAACAGCTGCTTGCAGCAGGAAGGGGTCCTGAAAATGCGTTGTCCCTTTTTTCTTTAATAGAGTAAGTTCTGGTTCATAAGGTTACTATTGTTGTGATGAAACACTATGACCAAATGCAACTTAGAGAGGAAGGGTTTTATTTAGCTTACACTTCCCAAGGGAAGTTAGGACAGGAACTCAAACAAAGCAGTACCTGAAGGCAGGAAGAGATTCAGAGGCCATGGAGGGGTGCTTGCTCTTCATGGCTTGCTCCCCGTTGATTGCTCAGCCTGCTTTCCTTGTTCAGGGGTGACCCAACTAACCTGGACTGGCCCCTTCCACATCTAATTAAGAAAATGTCCTATAAGCTTGCCTATATCCTGATCCTATGCAGACATTTCTCTGTTGAAGCTCCTTTCTCTCTAATGACTCCAGTTTTTGTCAAGTTGGCATAAAGCTAAGCAGCACAGAGTATCTTTGTTTATTCTTTGAGAATTTCATACATGAAAAAAATGCATCTTGATCATAAGCACCCCCAACAATTCCTTCCTCCTCACCCCCATGTATCCTCAACACATCTTACTCCCCCTTCATGTACTCTCCTTTTTAAAATCAATAACTCAGTGAGTTCAAATGGTAATATCTGTTGGAATGTTAACGACATCTTTTGCAGGTAGTCATAGATGCAGTGAGTTTATGAGTGCAGTGGCTATGCCATGTCCCAAAGACAGCATTTCACAGGACTTTCTTCCTAATCTTCTGGCTCTTCCATTCTTTTTGCTCTTCTGAAATGTTCTGTGGGCCTTGAGGTAGATAAAGATACTCCGTTGAGAACTGAGCACTCAGTAGACACTTGTTCTCAGCACTCTGACCAGTTGTACATTGTTGACTATGTGCTGACCACTCCAGAGGAAAGCTGCTCTGACAAGGTTGAAGGGATGAGCATAAGTATGTAGAAGGCAATTTGACAAGTGGTCATTTAGCCAAGCAACAGTAGTAGCCTCTGACAACCTGATCCATGGGCTTTAGGTCAGGTTTCCAGCCCCAGGCCTGAATTCCTTCCTGTGGAGCGTGTCTGAAGCTCAGTCCAAACCACTACTAAGATCTAAATTGCATGAGAATGGATCTCATTCAGGAATCTCCCCAGCGGTTGGGCCAGTCCCTGCTCCCTCCTGCTGTTCCGGAGGTTGTGACCCCAGCCACCAGCATCCTCTCTGGCCAACCCTATGACTGTTGTTCTCGTCACCTGGATGCCTGCTCAGCTCCAGCCCATTCATGCCTCTTCCTTATGTACCAGCTTTCTCCATCCATGTACCGTCAACTATAGGCTGCCCAGCCCTGATGGCCCTTTCCTAGAAGGGACCAGCACAGAGAGAGAGGGAGTCCCCTCCCCAGGACTCTTGCGTTCAGATCAGCCTCCTTTCTGCTGGAAGTGGAAGGACTCTTTTATTGGTGAAAAGATCTAAGCTGGCACTCTAGGCTGATACAAATATGACCCAGCTAGGCAGGGTGAAGGCCACTGTGTGAAACTACCTCACAGGCTATACTCTACTCATGAGTAGACATGGAGACATGCATGTCAGAGCTCTGGGGGAAGGGCAGAAATGTTTTCCGATACCCTACCCTCTGAACAAGCTGAGGGTCCCAAGGGGCTGTGGAGAGAGGGGTGAGGTTCCTAAGGGATTGGCCTTCCTAGGGAGGACCTCTGCACTCTGCCTTGATTCCCCAGAGAGTACCTGATATGTTTGTGTGTCCTGGCAGTAGGGCACAGGGCCAGCATGCTGTTCACACTATCCTTCCCTGGTTTGTCATCAGTGATAGCACCTGCCTGTCATGCCCACCCCTAGAACTCATGGGGATTCCCCAGGTTCATCCTCAGGCAGGCCGTAGTGAAACCCATACCATTCCTCCATAGCTCCATGTGCTTACTCTTAGGTCTTAAAACTAACGAGAATAGGAAGAATGCAGCCAGCCCAGCCCAACAGCTGTGGCCCTGCCTTGTGTTTGCCTTAGTGGGCATCTTTATACAGATGAATATAGTTCTCTTTATTTTTGGCTTTTTGCATTTTATTTTTTTGTCCTCCCTCTCACCCCCCCCCCCCAAAAAAAAAAAAAAAAAAACAAAACAGAAAAATTTTCAACAACAACAGAAAAAGTTCAATGTATAGCTAGGGTGGTGGCACACACCTTTAATCCTAGCACTTGGGAGGCAGAGGCAAGCAGATCTCTGTGAGTTTGAGGCCAGCCTGCTCTATAGAGCTAGTTTCAGTACAGTCAGGGCTACACAGAGAAACCCTGTTTCAAAAAAAAAAAAAAAAAAAGTAAAAACAAAAAGTTCATTGTGTGTGTAAAGCACCTAGGTGAATACCTGGAAAAAAAAAAAAAAAGAGCACTGTGTGCATTTCTGGTGCTTCTGTGTGATGACAATTCTCCACCTGTGCTCCAGGCATCCCACCTGATGAAAGTCCCCGCCGAGGTGGTCCTGCAGGGCCCTACTGTCAGTCACAGCGGCTGGCACTGTATGCCCAGGCCACAGAAGCATTGCTGAAGTCTGGAGCTGCCTATCCCTGTTTCTGTTCACCACGGAGGCTGGAGCTCCTGAAGAAGGAAGCGCTGAGGAGCCTTCAGACACCCCGGTGAGAGCCAACTCTGGATGCCTCCCTGTGGGGTGGTGTTTGTTGCTATTGTATCTGCAGGGTGTAGCTGGGTTCTTTGGTTCTGGGTATCTTTCAAGGCAGCAGTTGGACTGAAGTCAAGCCTGCAGTTCTCTGGAGTTTTGCCTGAGGAGGATTCACCGCTATCTTCTCCCTAAAGGCTGTGGGTAGGCCAGGGATCTCATTAGTTGGCTGTTTCTTGTCACATGGGTGTTCTCTGGTTAGAGAGAACTAAGTGTCAAAATATAAAAAATATAGGAAAGATTTTGTTTTGTTCTGTTTGTTTTTTTCCTAAGCTGAGGACCAAACCCAGGGCCTTGTGCTTACTAGGCAAGTGCTCAACAAGTGAGCTAAATCCCCTGCCTATAGCTCTCTTTCTTTTTTTCTCTTTGGTAGTGCTTGAGGTTATAAGAGTAGACTGGTGCATGCTAGGCAAGCGTTCTTCCAACTCCGCTATCTCCAAGCCACACGGGCCATTGCATAGGGCTGCTACAACCCGGCAAATACACTGTAGAGGAGACATCTTGCCACTTGTGTTCTGTTCCTCAAAAAGAAGTATGAGTCCAGCCTATGCTTAGAGAGAAGACATTGTAGAGCATGAATGCCAAGAGGCAGGGTCACAGGCATTGGGGCTTAAGAGAAGCTGCTGGCTGTACTGAACCTCAGGCAACATTTTCTGTAATAATAACTATCATAATGCATAGAATTTTTTTCTGGACTGGAGAAAGTGGTCAGTAATTAAGAATATTTGCTGGGATGGGTATGGTGGCATGCACCCTTAATCCTAGGACTCGGGAGGCAGAGGCAGGAAGATCTCTGAATTTTAACTTAGCCAGTTCTACATAGTGAGTTTCAGGACAGTCAGAATTTTATAAAGAGATCCTGTCTCCAAAAACCAAACCAAACCAAACAAAAACAAAAACAAAACACTCCTAACACTCATATGGAACAGTTCATAACTACCTCCAGTTCCAAAGAAATCTGATTCTTCTGGCCTCTACAAGGCCTCTACAAACACACACACACACACACACACACACACAGTACTCAAAACTAAAAGTAATAAAAATTTCAGGGTGTGGTGGTACATTCTAATTCCAGCTCTCAGGGGCTGGAGAAATGGCTCAGTGGTTAAGAACACTGTCTGCTCTTTCAGAGGTCCTGAGTTCAATTCCCAGCAACCACATGGTGGCTCACAATCATCTCCACCCTCTACTGCCCTCTTAGAGCCCTAATATGCATAAAATAAGTAAATGAATAAAATCTTAAAAGAAAAAAAAAAGAATTCTTAAAAAAAATAAATAAAAATTAAAAATCTAAAAAAAATTGTGTAATACTTATATTTCACATATATACAGACATATTTGTTTATGTTTTTTGAGACAGGGTTTCTCTGTGTAGCCTTGGCCATCCTGGACTCGCTTTGTAGACCAGGCTGACCTCGAACTCACAGTAATCCGCCTGCCTCTGCCTTCCTGAGTGTTGGGATCACAGGCATGTACCATCGCACCCAGCTCTTACATTTCTTTTGACATGTTAAACTTACTTTCTGAGTGGTCAGCACATGTCCCAGTGTGTGGAAGCCAAAGGATAGCTTTCATGAGCTGATGTTCTCCTTTCACCATGTGGGAGCTGAACTCAGGTCGTCAGCCTTAGCAGGAGGCACCCTTACCTACTGAGCTATCTCACTAGCTTCATGTTTAGTACTCAAACTACACAAAAATATAGAGAAACATTTCTCCTCTCCCTCCCTTTGACCATTCATTTCCCCTCTCAAGACGCAGTGGTACTAGGTGGTGGTTAGTGCATATGTTAATAGATGGTATTGACTGTCACCTTTTCCAGTCAGTGGCGGGGTGCACTGTACTGCACACCTCCTGGCTTGGGGGAGCTTCCATATAAACCCATATATTTTTTTCCTATCATATAATATTGCATTTATGGCATGGCATGGTGACATTTGCCTGTGATCCCAGCATTCAGAAGGCAGAGGCAGGAGGATCAGGAGTTCAGGGTTATCTTTAGCGACCTTGGGACTTTGAAGCCCTTCTGGGCTTTGTGAGACCTTAAACAACAAAACATCCTATTTGAAAATGCTATGGGTTACTAACTCTGTTCCTTATTAATCAACCTTTATGTCTTTTATGCTTTATAAAGGGAGGAGTTGTGATGAGTGTGGTAGTTTAAATGAGAATGGCGCCAGTAGGTTCATGTGTTTGATACTTAGTCCCTAGTTGGTAGAGCTGTTAAGGTAGGTTTAGGAAGTGTGGCCTTGTTGCAGGAGGTGTGCCACTAGGGGTGTCTTTGAGATTTCAAAAGACTAGCCATTCCCAGTAGGCGCTCTCTCTCTCTGCCTTCTGCTTGCCAGTCACGACGTGAACTCTCAGCTGTTCCTGGTGCCATGCCTTCACCCCACCACCACCAACTCTAACCTTCTGAAACCATAAACCCAATTTAATGCTATCTTCTATGAGTTTCCTTGGTCATGTTGTTTTGACACAGCAATAGAAAAGAACCCAATACAGTAAAGGAGCATTAAAATACATAATTTGTATCTTGATATGTATGTGGGATAGTTTATTTGCTGTGGTAAAATACCCTGATAAAAGAAATTAAAAACGAAAGGCTTTCTTCTGGTTCACAGTTTCAGAGCACAGTCCATCATGGCAAAGAAGTCCATTATTTCCACAGTCGGGATGGAGAAAGCAATGAATGCTGGTGCCCAGCTGCCTTTTATCTTTTTATGCAGTCCAAAATCCCAACTCAAGGAATGGTGCAGACGGGTTTTCTTGTGTCAGTTCACTTAATCAGTATAATCCCTCATACAGTCTTAGAGGCTAAACGTAATGTAAATAATCCCTCACACCTGGGAGTTGTGCCTAGAGGCTTGTCTCCTAGGTGTGTTCAGATACTGTCAAATTGACATCATTATTACCCATCATAGATTTCTTCCAAAATGTAGACTTTACTTGGGGGTCTGTGTATAGCTGGGTGTGGTAGTACACTCCTGTAACCAAGCACTTGGGAGACAGGGGCAGGGGGAACAGAAGGTAAAGGACATCCTCAGGGTGTAGTGAATTTGAGTCCAGCCTGGACTAAGAACTCTCTCCTGTTACCCATTTCAGCGAAACAGAGAAGTCCAACCGTATGGCCATGATAAAGCCCACTCCGTGCTTTTTCTCGTTTACACTGTTATCAGCAATCGCTGGACAAAGACTAGATGTTTAAACATTCACTGCCTTTTTACCTCTGAGATAAACGGGCTGGCCTCCAACTCGAAGTCTTCTGGTTTCAGTCTCTCAGGTGTTGAGTTAATGGATATCTACCATCTGTTGTTTTTAATTGTTATCAGCCTGAGGAGTTAGGTGTATCAAGAACTGAGTTTGCTGCCAGGCACGTGCCTTTAGTCCAGCACTCAGGAGACAGAGGCAGGTGACTCTGAGTTTGAGGCCAGCCTAGTCTACAGAGCAAGTTCCAGGAAGACCAGGGCTACACAGAGAAACCCTGTCTCAAAAAAAAAAAAAAAAAAGGAACTGAGTTTGCAAGTTTCACATTTGTGTAAACTAGGACACTACTGGATATATATTTAAATGTTAAAAATGACAGAGGCCAGTAAATTAGTTCAGCAGGTGAAGTTGCTTTCTGCATAGGCATGGAATATGTTCTAGCCTCAGGCCCCATGTGAAAGGTAGAAGAGCACTGACCCCGCAATGCTGTTCTCTGACTGCCACAAACGCACCATGGCATTTGCACTTCATACACACAAATCATAATAATGTGTCTTTTAAAACCTTTCTTCCTTTTTTTGTTTGTTTTGTTTTTCAAGACAGTTTCTACATGTAGCTATCCTGGAACCAGATCTAAACCAGGTTATCCTTGAACTCTGAGAGCCACCTGCCTCTTGAGTCCTGGTATTAAATGTGTTTATTACCACATTCGGCTAAAACTTTTTTTAGGTGGCAAACTAGGCCCTGGAGAGTTGGCTTAGTAATTAGGAACTCAGATTGCTTTTTCACAGGACCAGAGTTTAGCTCTCAACACCCACATTAGGCAGCTCAGGGCTCCTGTAGTTCCAGCTCCAGGGCCATCCAGAAACTCAGACCTCCACAGGTACTATGCTCATATGCACATATATACACCCAATTTTTAATAACAATTTTTGAAGGAGCGATCAGAAAAAAAAAAGTAGAAGATAAAATAAAAAGTGAAATCAGCAGTCATTCCCAGTACTTTCTCTAGTAGACAGTTCATCTGGGCTGTGCTTACCCTGCAGGTTCTAGCTTAGCAGGACTAAAGTTTGGGTCTGAGTTTGTCATGAGTGCACCAGTGACGCTGATGCTGGGAGTCAACACCCTACTTTGGAAATCTGGAGAGAGATGACTCTAAGCTAAGAGGAGCAGCAGCCTCTCTCTGACTGTTACCCTGCCCGCCGACAGCCTTGCCTTCTCTCCCTTAATTGTGTGTGGAGTTAATAGTTTCAACATGGGTTCTCAGAGGGTAGCATCCAGAGTGCTCCTGGGAGGTATAAAAAAAGGAGTTTCTTTTTCCCCCTTGCAGGTATGTATGTCTTAACCTCCTTGGAGAGAAATATCTTTCCCAGGACCTTAGCCTTTCCTTAGCCACCAAGTGTTGTTTTCTTGGATACTCAGTAATAGAATGGGTTTACATTCCTACCTGGCCTGATCACTCTTAGCAGGTCACAAGATTGCAAACTTGTTTGTACTCATTGTAATTCGGCTCTTGGTCTAAGCCTTTTTCCATGTCCTCCTTAGCAAGGGAAAAAGGACAATGATTAATAACTCAACAAACATTAGTGTCTGCCGCAGTGTGTTATCTCACACAATTTTATTTTTAAATCCATTCTTGACAGAAGAATCTCCTTCAAGGGGTTAATGAGTTGCCTAGGGGCATAAGCTATTAGAAACCAAAGATAAGGGTTGGGATTATAGTTCAGTTGGTAGAGTGCTTATCAGCATGCCTAGGACCTTGAGTAAAATCTCCAGGACTCCAAGTAAAAACTATAACTTGAGAGACAAGTGGGATATCTGATGATTCTCTTAGCTACTCTGCTGCTCTCTCAACAGGTATGACAATCGGTGCCGGAACCTGAGCCAGGCCCAGGTGGCGCAGAAGCTAGCCACAGATCCCAAGCCTGCAATCCGCTTCCGCCTGGAGGAGGCAGCACCAGCCTTCCAGGACCTGGTATATGGCTGGACTGAACATAAAGTGGCCAGTGTGGAGGGGGACCCAGTTATCCTGAAGAGTGATGGCTACCCCACCTACCACCTAGCCTGTGTGGTAGATGACCACCACATGAACATCAGCCATGTGCTTCGGGGCTCTGAGTGGCTGGTCTCCACCTCCAAGCATCTCCTCCTCTATCAGGCCCTGGGCTGGCAGCCACCTCAGTTTGCTCATTTGCCCCTGCTCCTCAACAGGGATGGTAGCAAGCTGTCTAAGAGGCAAGGGGACATTTTCCTGGAGCATTTTGCTGCTTCTGGTTTTCTGCCTGAAGCCTTGCTTGACATCATTACCAACTGTGGCTCAGGGTTTGCAGGTACATACCCCCCAGAGTGGTCGTGGCAGCCAATCTTGAGTTTTGATACAGACAGATCTGCTTATCAGTCCCAGCATTATCACCTATAAGTCATGTGATCTTGGACAAGTTCATTATTCTAGTCAGCACTGGTTACTGAGCCAGACAACTGTTTCCTCACTTGGTTTTCCCACACTGCTTTGTTGTTAATGGAGTGGGGCTCACAGTATACATTGTCCCTGCCCTCAGACACCTAAAGTCTCATTAACCTTGTCTGTATGAGAGGGTTAAGGGTCTGCCCTGTAGGGTTAACGGGGAGCCAGTGAGCTTATAAATATGAGGAACCAGTTCACTGTCTGGCCACAGCATAGGCACAGAAGCCACAGACCTCATGATTACTGTAATTACACAAGTATGTGTGCTCTAACAGTATTACTGGTGCTACTGTAAATCTGCTTATTCCAGGGTTAGAACATAAACTTTGAAGAACCAAGTACCAAATGTGATGACTTCTGTGGCAAGAATTTTTGAAACCCTGGCAGTAACTTGATAATCCTAGTTCCTAGGTGATTTGAGACTTAGGAAGGTTGAGTAGCTTGCCAGAGTCACATCCTTTGTAAACGATATAGTTCTTGAGGCCTGTGCCTGACCATGGTGCCTTTGGACTTCACCAAAGGGAGCTGCTGCTTATAAAGAAGCTGCCTCCAGGGAGCTGTAGAGATGGCTCAGCAGTTAAAAGCTTTTGCTGGTTTTTCTGATTTTTGTTCCCAGCACCCATATCGGATGGCTCATAGCTGCGTGTAACTCCAGTGTCAAGGGATCCAATACCCTATTGAACATGAGCACACACACAAACTAAAAATAAGGAAAAAAGTTCAAAAAAGCAGCAGCTTTCAGTCTTCGTGTGGTGTCCCAGCACTAGAAAGGCTGAATCCCAACACTAGAGAAGCTGAAGCAGGAGGATTGCTAGTTTGAGGTCAGTCTGGACTATATAAATACCACAGTCCTGTCTCAAATGAAACAGAAAAGTAGCAGCTTCCAGCACTGGGGGTCCACTGTGGCATGAAGGAAGTTTGTAGGGTACGTAGTACCAGATCTGACTCACAGCCAAGCATATCAGAAGCTGTGGAGTAACCAGACAGTAAGTGCTCTTGTGGCTTTGGTACGGTTGTGGTGGGGAGCCTACAGCTTGCTCATTTACTCTCCTTTGTGTGTGAAAGCAAGGCAATGTGACCAACACCTGTATCCGGTTATGTGGGAAACTGAAACAGGAGGATCAAAATCTGTAGGCTGGGCAATGCAGAAAGAAAGATAAAAGGAAGGACAGAAATAAGGACAGTAGATGAGGGAGGGACTGAGCAGCCAAGTGGGCTTACTTGCAGGGAACCAAATGGGCAGGACCCTGCCGGAGCTGATAACACAGTTTGACCTGACTCGGATCACCTGCCACTCAGCCCTGCTGGACCTGAAGAAGCTCCCAGAATTCAATAGGTAAGTGGGAGAGCCAAGCTCCCCACAAGCACATACCTATAATCCTAGCTCTTGGAAAGTTGAGACAGGAGAATTGTAAATTCTAGGCCAGCCTGGTTACATAGCATCCTCAAACCCACTATGTAGCCAATTGATGACTTTGAGTTCTTCATCCTTGTACCTCTACCTCCCAAGTGCTTAAATTACTGGATTGTGCTAATACACTGACTCAACTGTAGTTGTTTCAAGGATATGACTTTATTAGGTCTGTGCCTTTGCTATATGTTACCTGTATGAGGTCCAGGACAGAATTTAAATAACTAGCAGATTGATGCAGTGAGCAGTGAGGCATCTCTTGTGTGGGGTCTACAAGGGTGAGTGCAGTCTCGCATGCCAGGTACAACACAGCTGTGCTTTTTATTCCAGAGAAGTACTGTTTTAGGAGGAAATGGAGACCAGTCAGAGAGATACTTTGGGATGCCTCCCACGCCTCCCTGAAATCCAGGGGTCAGCAAAAAAGAAAGATTGGGATGGGAGGGGGTTTATGTAGAGAGAGAAATATTTTAGAACTGATGCCCATCGATTTAATCTAGCCAAGCTGAATTATCCTCAAATGTTTTCTGTCATCAAGCCAACTCCATGCTTACTTCAGAGACACAGTAAATATATTAGTAGACATATTAATGTCTCAGCAGCAGCCACAGCAATAGCAATATTGTGTATGAACATGGGAATATTGATTAAGATTCATTTAGCTTGACTGTTTCCCAGGCTTGGACTTGTGGTATATCAATTAAGTATCAATTAAGCATGGCCAGGAGGGTCTCTGGTTTTGTTCTGTTTTGTTTTGTTTTGTTGTTTTGTTTTGTTTTTCTCCTTACTGCCTGGCCTTGCTGCTTTCTGTACTTTATCTGTATGTTTTCTGTTTGTTTTTCCAATCAAATTACACTTGCCTGTAATTCCAGCACTCAGGGCGCTGAGGTAGGAAGATGGAGAGATCTAGGCCAGCCTAACTTCATAGAACCTATCTTAAACACCAAAACCAAAGCAAAAGGTTTTTAATTGCTTTTTGCCAGTCTGGATTCTAGCTAGCTTCACACAGTGACTTGTCTTTCGTCCTGTGACATGCAAGGTGCCTCAGACTCCTGCAGATCTGCAGCCCTTGAATGGGTGGCTTTCAGGCCCTGGCATCAGTACTTCAGATCTAGTCCATGGTTAATGTTCACTGCCACCCTACCTCGGAGGCCCTCTTGTCCCATTCTGTCTGAGGTTCCCCAGCTTTCCAGTGGTTGTGTGGGTTACTGCAAACACCTGGCAGCTGGGCTTTGGATTCAGGACTGTCTCAGTCATAAGCTGTTTACCACTTTACTATGTGGCTTTCCTCTGTAACACAGACAGGGGGCCACAGGACTTAGAATGGTTCCTGGTTCTGCAATGTTTTGTCACTCGCTGGCCCTTCCAGTCCTGTCAGGAAGAGGCAAAGGACAGCCGGGAAACTGAGGAGGACAGGGCTTGGTATGAGGGTTGAACTTATGGAGGCTTTGCTGTTCAGGAGAAAATCAGTTAGGATTCCAGAAAAGAGGTAAATTTGAACTGACAAGAAAGCCCCAGCTTTGAAAGTGAGTATTTCATTGAAATAGCCCCCTGCTCCAAATCGTAGAAATACATTTTTTGATCTCTCCTTTCAGATCAGTACTTCAAGTAAGGCTAGGAAGCACATTCCTGAATTCTTCTATGTAAACTCAGGTGCCTGTAGAGGTCAGGTGATAGTGTAGGGAGGGAGAGTCTGGCAAGACACCAAGAAGGAGAGAGACAGGGCAACTGGAAGACTGTGGAGTCTGAGCCAGCAACATGGATCCAGCCTGCTCCAGCCAGTTAGAGCTGTGGACAGGCCCTGTGCACCCAGAGCTGCTCATTCCACACAGAGAGCCAGAATGTTCCTTGCTGTGATCTTCTGGTTTAAAATAGCTTCTTGGCTGGGTGTAGCTCGGTTTTAGACTGCTTGCTTAGTATGCTGGGTTTGCTCCTTACCACCTCAGAAGTAACAGGAAAAAGACAGCTACTATTTTTAAAACACTGAAAATGCCTGGTATGGAGTTATATCTTTAATCCTAGCACTTGGAGTGCAGAGGCAGGTGGATCTCTAATTTTGAGACCAGGGCAGCTAGAAATATATAGGGAGACATTGTTTTTTTTTTTTTTTTTTTAAAAAAAATTGAGCTGAAGAGATGGCTCAGCAGTTAAGAGCACTGACTGCTTTTCCAGAGGACCAGGGTTCAATTCCCAGCACCTACATGGCAGCTCACAACTGTCTGTAACTCCAAGATCTGACACCAGATATTCTTGCAGGCAGAACACCAATACAGATAAAATTAAAAAAAAAAAAAAATCAATAAAATAAGTATAAATAACACTGAAAACAAATCATGTTTGCCTAGATTTAGGCTGGTTGTGACCTTGATTAAATCTTGTTCCTTTTATACAACGGACATTATGGGTTTTATAGCTGTGGCAGTCTTCAAATCCCTACTGCTGCCCTGAGGGGAGAGGTTTGGCATAGTCCTGAGGAATCAGTACCAGGGGATCTCCTTTCTTCATCCTCAGACTGCACCTCCAACGGCTGGTGAACAGTGAGACCCAGAGGCCCCAGTTGGTGGAGAAGCTTCAGGCCCTGGTGAAGGAGGCATTTGGGAGCCAACTACAAGACAGCAATGTTCTGGACCCAGCATATATGGAGAGGATCATTCTGCTGAGACAGGTGTGGGTTTAGGGCACCCTTACCCCTTCCCGAGTTTCCCAAGCTCTCCCAGTGCAAGTGGTGACTACCTCTCTCCCCAGGGCCACATCAGCCGCCTGCAGGATCTGGTCTCTCCTACGTACTCCTACTTATGGACTCGGCCTGCTGTCCATCGAGAACAGCTGGGCACCGACTCGGAAAAGGTGGATGTGATTGGCAAGCGATTGCTGGGGTAAGTGTTCGTACCCCTGGTTAAGGGTGTGGCACACCCTTCCCACTCTTTGCCATGGCTTCTCTCCACCAGATGGTAGCTCTTAGTCCCCATCACAAAACTATGACAAGCTGGGGAAAAAAAAAAAAGGCTCTCTTACTTCTGAGGTAAGGACAGCACCCCTGAAGGCCCAGGTGGCTCCCTCCCTGAGTCTCCTTTTCCTCAGACCTGGCATACTGTAACAGTAACAGGATTTTTATTTCATTAAATTCTTAAATACTTATTTTTAATTTAAGTGTATGAGTGTTTTGCCTACATGTATGCCTGTATACCATGTGTGCGTCTCTCGTATTAATATACCAAAACTTTTTAAACCTGGATATTGGAAGCAGGGAAGTTATGCCCTGGTGCAGTCTTCCATCAGCCTAGTTCTTGTTACCCACTTTTTGACCAAAAGGTGACAATGTTTGGGTGTTTTAGATGTCTTTTTCTTTTTTTAAGAGATAATTCTGAGCCAGGTGGCAAATGGCACATGCCTCTTTTTTGTTTGTTTGTTTGTTTGTTTGCTTTTTGTTTTTTGAGACAGGTGTATCCTTGGCTTTCCTGAACTCAAATTGTAGACCAGGCTGTCCTTGAACTCACAATAGTCCCCTTTCCAGCACTCAGGAGGCAGAGGCCAGAGGATCTCTGTGAGGCCACACCGGTCTGCAGAGTGAATTCCAAGACAGCTAGGGCTACACAGAGAAACTCTGTATTGAAAAACAAAACAACAGAAAAAGAGAAATAGGTTCTGTATGCTGCTCAGGCTAGTCCCAAACTGAGCTCAAATGAGCTCTCCGTCATCTTTCCAAGAAACTTAGACTGTAGGCATGAACTACTGCGCTCAGCAATATAACTAGATGTGTCCAGTCTTTGAAAGTCTCCTCATTCCTTTCTTTGAATAACTTTCCTGTGACACCACTTCAAATAGAATTTAATTCATCTCTTTATGTACATTAGGGTTGCTTCCAAGTTTTGCTTTTGGAAATAACTGCAGTAAATAACATTGCATGGATATATTACTAAACATATTTGCAAGTCCATTCCCTAATCAGTACCCAAGAGCTAATATCATCAGTAACTTGGGACATTCCATAGTAGGGTCCTCAATTCTGTTTGCTGTTTGTTGTTGTTTGAGACAGGAGATCACTATGTATCCTGGGCTGGTCTGGATCTCAACGGATAGATCAGGCTTGCCTCAGACTCGAGATCTGCCTGCTTCTGCCATCCAAGTGCTGGGATTTAAGGTGTGCTACCACATCCAGCTTTTTTTTTTTTCTTTTTAGATCTATGTGGGTATGTCCATATGAATGCAGCACCCATGAAGGTAGAGAAAAATTGAGCTACCTAGTGTTCTCTGAAAGAGCAATATAAGCTCTAAACGGCTGAATGATCTCTTGAGCTATTAATTCTAATTCACCAAGACCATGTCTTAATTTCTCATCCTTGTCTTGGGTTATATTTTAGAGGCTGTGACTTCTACTCAAGTCAGGAAAGCTGACACCCAAATGCCTAGGAGCCACCAGACCACTATAAGTCTCTTTTGTGTCATTGCTAAGCTCTTAGCCAGCTCTTACTGTCCTGGGCTGCCATTAGCAGCTGTCTAGGCCTGTCCTGTTCCTTGGCAGCCTCCTTCCCCAAATGCAATGACCTTGGGGAGTGCCCATCTTCTTTTTATATTGCATTTTGTATTTTTTTTTTTTCTGTATTGTTTGTTTGTTTCTTTAAGACATGGTTTCTTTGTATAACCTTGGCTATCCTGGACTTTGAAGACCAGACTGGCCTTGGGCTCACAGAGATCCTCCTGCCTTTGCCTCCCCGAGTGCTGGGATTAAAACTTGCGCCACCCTACCCAGTTTGTTTTTAGTATTTCATCTCCTTGATTTTATAAACAGCAGTGATCCTGTGCCCAGTTAATGATTGGCTTTGTCCAGTAGGGCTGCTATAGTAAAAATACCACAACTTTCTAAACAGTAAATTTGAAGCTGGGGGTGTACAGATGAGTGCTAGCTGAGTTAGTGGCAGCCAGTGTCCTACTCCTGGGCTTAATCCTTGTTTCCATGTGCTTAGGTGCTGAAGTCTGGCAATTGTTAAGGAAAGCTGTGCATACTGAAAGGCTGTTACTTCAAATCACTTATAAGATCACTTTCTGAGCCAGATGTACTTCCCACTGAGCTGCCACTCAGCACAGTCAGAACCCCCTTAGGAGCAGGGATTCTGCTCATAAAGCATTGGTATAGCACCTCCATTTTGGTTTGGTTTGGTTTTTGGTTTTTCGAAACAGGGTTTCTCTGTGTAAAAGCACTGGCTGTCCTGGACTCTATAGACCAGTCTGGCCTTGAACTCACAGAGATTCAACTGCCTCTGCCTCCCAAGTGCTGGGATTACTGGCATGAACCACTGTGACCAGCTTGTCCTGCTTTTTAAAAGTGTTTTTTAGTTTTTTAGTTTGTTTGGGTTTTGTGTGTGTTGACTTCTTTGAACTGAAGTTACAGGCGGTTGTAAGTCAACTGACATAGGTGTTGAGGATGGAATTTGGGTTCTCTAGAAGCAGTAAGTGATCATAACTCCTAAGCCATCTCTCCAGCTCCTGGGATACCATCTTAAGAATTCTGGGAAGCTGCTGTGGAGTGTAGGCTCCCACCACCTCAATCAGAGCTTGGGTGACTGGTTTACAAGTCCAGCTCTCACCAGTTGTGGACCACTCAAAACTCAAGTGCTTTTGGGAAAGGGTCTTAGCTTGGCTTCCAGGAATATGAGGGTAGTTGCTGGCTGATGGGGTTTAGATCATCTGTGTTTCCTTTTCTTTCTTTCTCTTCTTTTTCTTTTTCTTTTTTTTTTCCTCCTGAGACAAGGTTTCTCTGTGTTGCCTTGGCTGTCATAGAACTTGTTTTGTAGACTAGGTTGGCCTCAAACTCACAGAGATCCTTTGGCCTCTTCCTCCCGAGTTCTGGGATAAAAGGCATGTGCCACCATGCCTGGTGATCCTTTGTGTTTCTGTCTGTGGAAAAGAGGCCTCTGCCCAGCATGTTGGCAGTGGGGTAGCTCCTGGAGTGGGTGTTTTCTGGTGTTTTCTTTCTATTCCACTGTGCTACACTCACCTTGGCAAATCTTAAAGCTGTTTCAAGTAATTCCTCAGAAATTATCCATTCCTATATACTGTGTCCAGCTCATTCCTAAGTTTTTATTTTAGGTTCTCCTGAAGTGTCTGTTGAGTATATTAATACCAGCTAAGTGTAAGTTTTTTATTGAAACATGGTATCCAATATTTTTGAGTGTTTACCATAAGTTCAGGGCTTTACTTAGTGCTGGTCATATTTTAGCTCTCTTGTCACTTTCCTGTGCAGTACAGTTGCTATTATTGTCCCCACTTCATTGAGTAAGAAATAGAGGCATAGTGACTACATGGCAGTTAGTTAGTTCTCTTATTATAGTTCTTCTTGTTTTTATTTTGACATTTATTCACTTTATGTTCATGGAGAAGGCACATGCCATGGTACATGAGCAAAAGTCAGGTGACAACTTGGGAGAGGTTAGTTCTCCTTCCACTGTGTGGGATCTGGGGATTGAGCTCAATTCAGGCTTGGTGGCAGTCTTTCTTACCATTGAGTCATCTCGCTGGCTTCATGGCATCCTTTTAGTCACCTATATGTAACTACTTGCCTGGGCCACCTATACATGTGGTCCTATCATCCTATCATTGTTTGCCTGTAGAAGATTGGTGAATTCCCTACCCTTAGTAAACTGTGTTTGTGCTTTAGGTGATTAACAATCTTCTGAAGCATCTTCTCCCACCCTGGAACCCCACCCTACCACCTGCCTGCCAAGTCCGAGTTTCTCTGTATAGCCCTGGCTGTCCTAGAACTCACACTGTAGATCAGGCTAGACTCAAACTCAGAGATCTCTCTGTCTCTGCCTCTTGAGATCTGGTATTAAAGACTTACACCATTACACCTGGCTCAGACTGGTTCTCTTTTAGGCTTTTAGAAAGATCTGGCTTGAGCCTAACTCAGGATATGGTGAACAGAGAACTGAAGACGCTGTCAGAAGGTCTGGAAGACACCAAGTATAGCAGTGTGATGAAGCTCCTTCGAATGGCCCTCAGTGGACAACTGGTGAGATGGGACATGAGCTGAACCATTGCCTGTAGCCCTCATTGACCCTTGCAGCTAATGCTCACAGTCTGGCACTAAGGCCCATCCAGACAATAATAACCTGATGACGAAACATGACCAGTCCCTCATCACTGAGCATCTTCTGTGTGTAGGCACTGTTATTGTTAAGAGTGGAGAGAGTGTAAACAAATGCATACGATCCCTGCCTCTGTGGAGATCATTGAGAATAATAGACAGATTATCAGTTTGCCAAAGGCAGAAAAACAGGCTCATGGAAGCCAGCTGTTGAGAAAAATTTAAGACCAGTAGAGCTGGGTTGTAGCTTTTGCCTAGCATTCATGAAGTTCTAGGGTTGATCCCCAGCACTGTAAACATAGAACAAAAATAACTAGGTAAAAGAAAATACAATAAAAAAGGGGCCCCTGCTCCTAGGGTTGCTGCTGTGGGTTGGGGTTGGCCTGGGTAGTCTCCTACAGTTGGAGCTTTGGCACGAATTCCTTCTGCACATAGAGGCAAATGATGGTGTTTTTCTCCTTTCTTAGCAAGGACCGCCTGTGGCTGAGATGATGGTGTCTTTGGGTCCAAAGGAAGTACGGGAACGAATCCAGAAGGTGCTTTCTAGCTAGGGAGAAGATGCATGGGACCAAGGAGGTGGCCCTGAGAGCATGTACACATGGAAACTGAATTCTGAGGAGAGCAGGAGGCCTGTGGCCCAGTGGGTCTCTTTCAGAGTGAACAGTGGTAGAACACTCTGTGACCACTCTCTTCAACTGGCCATGGGGAGCCCAGCCTGTTTTCTCCAAGATCTCTGGGAAGGATGACCTTCAGCTCATGTCTTGATTCTTCTCTGTTTTTTTAAAGATTTTTTTTTTCCTAATGTGGATGGGTGTTTTACCTGCATTTATTCCTGTATATCATATACATGCATGCAGTGTGCCTTCAGAGGCATGAAGAAAGCATTGGATCCCTGGAACTAGAGTTACAGACGGTTGTGGATTACCGGTTGGATGCTAGGAGTTAAACCCAGATCTTCTAATAGAGCAGCCGGTGTATAAATGATGAGCTATCTCTCTAGCCCTTTGTGTTGGTTTCATGCCACATTCTACAGCAGGTGTTAGGAGCTGATTTACAGAAAAGATCAACATTCCAAAACAGTCCAGAGGGTTGAGGTCTTGGTTCACTAGGCTGCATAACAAAATACCACCAAATATGGTGGCTTCAACAAAAAGATAATGATTTGTTTAGTGTCCTAGAGACTGGAAGTCCAACGTGTCGATAGGGTTGGTTTCTTGGGGGAGACTCTCCTGGGTTACAGACCCCCATCTTATTGCAGTGTCTTCCTAGGATCTTTCCAGGTACAAGACCCCCGCAGGGCTTGTAGGATTCCTCAGGGTAGCAGTCTGCACCAGCAGTCACTCTCCTGAGGAAAGCAGATGTATAACCCTCAGGCTATTGAGGAAGTGATAGAGGCTTGATCATAAAGGACCTTGCAGCTTCTTTCTGCTTCTTTCAAATCCTCACCTTTGGGAAAGCCAGCTTCCAGATCATGAAGAAGCTTAATCCCTTGTGTCTTAGAAGGGTCCATATGACATCAGAGCCTCCTGCCATCGGCCATGTGAGTAAACCATATTGGAAGCTGGACTTTGGGTCCCAGCCAAGCACCTCCTGAGACACCCAGAGCTACAACACTCAGAACTTCTGGAATTTCAGGATTGTGAAACATTAAATGTTTGTTTAAAGCCACCTGCTTTAGGGGTAATTTTTACCTAGTGGTAGATTCCTGCTATTCTCTCCTTGCCCAGGTGAGTATGGGAAAGAAAGAGCTTTTGAACCTTGCGTAAGGGGGAAAAAGTTCTTTGTTTGCAAAAAAAATCAAGCCAAAATTGGGTGGAAATAAAATAAGACAAATCTGGAAAAAACATAGAACAGAACCACATATTAGAGAAAATGGTGTGCTTGTTAGTTTTTGTTAACTTAACATAAACTTAATTTATAAATTAATTTTTTAAATAAATAAAACAGTAGTTTTATTTTGAGACGAAAGTCTGTGTTGTCCTGGCTGGTACTTGCTACATATTCCAGGTTGGCCTCAAACTCCCAGAGGTCCACCCTTCTTTGCCTCCCGAGAACCGAGATCAAAGGCATATACCACCATCTTTAGCTTGGGAAGAGGGACTCTTAATTGAGAAAAAGCCTTTACAGAATTGGTCTGTGGGACATTTTCTTGAGTAATGATTAGTGTGGAAGGGCCCTACCCACTGTGAGTGGTGTCATCTCTGCCAGATGATCCTGGATAGAGTAAGAGCAGGCCTCTGTCTCTTACCCCAACTCTTTATTTTTTTTTTTAATATTTTTATTATATGACTGTTTTTTATTGAATGTTTTGCCTTGCATGTGTGTTTGCTTTGTGTATGTCAGGTCCCCATGGAGGTCAGAAGAGGGCATCAGGTCCCCCAGAACAGGAATTATAGGTAGCTATGAGCTGCCACGTGGATGCTATGAATCAAATGGGTCCTCTATAAGAGCAGTCAGTATGCTGAGCCATCTTTTCACTTCCCATCTCTTTAATTAAGTGACATCAGAACTATTGCTCTTGAAATATTAAAAATGGTTATTTCCGGGCTAGAGAGATGGCTCAGAGGTTAAGAATACTTGACTGTTCTTCCAAAGGTCCTGAGTTCAATTCCCAGCAATCACATGGCAGCTCACAACCATCTATAATGAGTTCTGGTGCCCTCTTCTAGTGTGTAGGCCCACATGCAGACAGAACACTGTAGAGGTAATAAATAAAATTTTTTAAATGGTTATTTCCAGTGGGAGAGCACATGTCAGTTATCCTAGCCTTCAAAAGGCTGAGGCAAGCTGGGAGCAATGGCACATACCTTTAATCCCACCCATTTAGAGGCAGAAACAGGTAGGTAGATCTCCAGAGTTCAAGGACAGCCTGTTCTGCAGAACTGTTTCAAGACATCTGGGGCCATACAGTGAAACCCTCTCTAGGAATGGGGGTGGGGCTGAGGCAGAAGGAAGGTGATCTCAAGATCATCCTAAGCCACAAAGGCCAAAAAGGAGGGAGAAACTCGCAGGCTGGTGCTCAGGGAATGTGACTGTTTTCCCAAAGTGACAAATGCCAAGAGGCCTAGGATGGTGTATTGGGCCAGCATTTTGGAGGTGGGGAGTGGAGGATCAGCAATTCAAGGTCACCATCCTCATCTCCATATAGAATTATTTAACTTATTTTTAAATTATTTGTGTAGTGTGCAGGTGAACATGTGAAGTCAGGGGTCAACTTTTAGGAATCAGTTTTCATTTCTCACCTTCAGTGGAGGTTCCAGGGATTGAATTCAGGTCACCAGACTTTTAACAAGTACTTGTTTCTCACGGAGCCAAGATTGAGGACAGCCAAGGCAACGCAGTGAGACCTTGTCTCCCTGCCCCAGCAAAAAATGCCCTCAATGAGCCATCGTGCCTACCTCCATAATGAATGTGAGGAAAACTTGAGCGTTATTAGATCCAGTCTTAAACAGAAAATGTTAAATTGATTCTGACAAATGCTATAACCTGATGAGCCTTGTGCTAACATCACAAAAAGATGAGAAGGAGACAATGCAGAACAGTGGCTGTCAGGGTGAGGGAGAGGAAGTGAGGAATTATTGCCTGAAGGCTGTATTGTTTTAATAATTATTGGATACAATCCTCTGTCAACCCAATCATCAGCATTGTTATCCTTTGAAGCAGTAATTGTGATTGTAAGGAATAAACCTGACTCAGTAACAATCCACCAGGGAATGCATTGGAAACTCTAGGACTCACAGACCCAAAGGACAGGACTTCCAACCTCTAGAGTGATGGGAATCTACTTGAAGCCCACTGGGACCGGAGGCAGCTGAAGTTCTGTGTCCAAACTCCCAGGAAAGCATCTTGTCAGCCTAGTCAGCTTTCCGCCTCTTGTCCTGTCGGCTGTGTTAAGTGGGGCAGTTGGGTAATGGCGACATCTGCAGGGCACCCACTGCAGGAGAGGAATGCTTCCTCTTTTAGGGATTGTCTGTTCAGTAGATTTAGAGACTCTCTGTTTCAGAAAAGTATGTTTCAGTAGCCAAATTTGCAATCTACCTATATCTAACTTAGCTTTTGTCTCAGGACTAGGGATGTCTGGGTAATAGAGTCGTCATTGCCTAGAATGCACAGAACCCTGGGTTCGATCCCTGGCACCACAAAATAAGATGAAAAACATTGTACTTATTCATGTGTAGAATTTATATTTACTATTTTAAAAATTTTGAGATTGAGGTACACAGGAACTTTGTTGTTCTTGGTTGTAAGTATTTGATACATTGCTTGATAAAGAGTAGGAAATCATGTTAAACCTCATGAAGTTGTTCATCTGTCAGACCATGGTTTCATCATCAGCTGGCTTAACTCTGCTAGATCCCAACAGTCTCCCAGCATCACTTCTTCCCTTCCATGAAAAAAATCCTCCCTTGCAAGATCTGTTGTAATTAGCTGTCTGGTCTGTTGCCGGTGATTTCTATTGAGTCCTGATACCTGGAAAGGAATGACTGTGAAAGACCAAAGTATGGCCAGTTGGGATGGTTCAATCTGTGGGAGATCTGAATTATAACTTCTAACTCTAAGGCTCATTATGTCAGGGAAGTTATATCTGGGTACAAGCTTTCAGATACACAAATACAGGTTCTAACCTGCTTAAACTAGATTTCTTTCCACATAACTGAAAGTTCAGTGGTAAACTAGGTTGTGGAACTGTTGACTTAGTGGCAGAAAGGCTCAGGGTCATTCAATTCCACTGCTGCTCTCCCGGCCACAGATCTGCAGCAGCCTCTGCTCACAGCTGCCACTTCCTTCTCTTGTCTGCTGGGGAGAGTGAGTTTCTGTGGCTCCAAACACAAACCCATTTCTACAGGCGTCCTCCAACTCAGCTTCCTGTTTTTGTGCCCATCACTGCTAGAGAAAAGGGGATTTCCAGACATCAGTCAGACTCAGAGATGGAATGGGCTCTGCTCATCTGTACCTGTGCTTGAAAACCAAGTCAGGGTTTAGTGAAGACAAAGATTTGGGTGTTCTTGGGTAGGTGAGGAGCCTTGAAATGTATAGAGCAGAGAAGTGACAAAGATCAGTTTTGTTTTGGGAAGGTTATCCTTGGCAGCATGCTGAGGAGAGATTAGAGCAGGGACAGACTAGAAGCAGAGCCAAGAGTGTATGTGAATGAGGTGGGTTCTTGGTTTGACAAAACTGAGTTTGTTCAGTATGGCCTATGAGGACCTGTATTAAAGTTCTCAGAGGAACAGAATCAAGTGGACATGTATCTAAAAAGAAATTTGGTGTAAGTTGCTCATGATTACAGAAGCTGAGCTCTCACCATCTGCCACTCACAAGCTGCTGTTGTAGCTCACAGACCTGAGAGTCAGAAGCATCCATAGCGGAAGACAACCAGCGTCCCAGCTCAAGCTACCTGGAAGAGTTTTCCTTAAGGCCTCTCAACAGATTAAGTGAGCCCACCCACACGGGACAGCCAGGGACAGCCATCGGACTTTCCTTGTCTCCCAATTCTAGTTCTAATCCCTTCAAGAAACACCCTCCCAGGCACACACAGAAAGCTACCTTGGTGCAGTCAAATTAACATAAAATTAACCATCAAAGGGGCTGAAAAAAAAGGAGGGCAACTGGAAAGATGGCTCAGTAGTTAGGAGCAATGGCTGCTCTTTCAGAGGACTCAGGTTCAATTCCCAGCACCCATATGGCAGCTCACAACCATCTGTAACTCTAGTTCCAGAGGATCCAGTGCCGCCTTCTGGCGTCTAAACAAATACAGACAAACACATAGATAAAACACCTATAAAAAGCCTCAGATGTGTCATTTAATTGGATCATGTGTCAACAGTGGCAATCAAGGGCAGTCATTATATTGAGTAAGAATATGGTTTTCAGTGCCCAGGAGCTTCATATCACTTGTGGTTACTATTTTTGTTATTAGACATGTGATAAGAACATGACTGGCAAGTTCTTAAATTTAGGAAGCAGAACAGATTAAGCATTTTGTGATGATCTTGGGATTTCCAACTTTACCGTCAGATCTTGGCAAACTATTGGGGTGCCAGCCATTCGTTCTAAACCTGGAAAGTCAGCTCCACCCCCTATCTCTCTGCTTCCTTGCTGGCTTCAGTAGCATAGCCCCAACAAAGGATCTTTTCTGTCTGCAGAATACCTCACCCCTTTTGGCTGGGTCTGTCTAATCTTCACTCATTTATGGAACAAACATTGGGTGCTTGGTTCTGTTAAGCCTGAGGGTGTTGAGGGAAAATAAAACAAGACCTTAACTGTGTGTGTGCCACATAGGTTTGTTAACCCTTATTGTGCAAGTCTGAAATAGGGCCTCTGTGTAGCCCAGGGTGGCCTTGAACTCTTCCATTTCCAACTAACTTGCAAATTTTGGAATTATAGGCATATGCTTGCCACCACATCCAACTGTTATCCTTTCTTTTTAAAATTTATTTATTTATACAGTATTCTGCCTGCATGTGTGCCTGCAGAGCAGAAGAGGGCACCCTATCTCAATATAGATGGTTGTGAGCCACCATGTGGTTGCTGGGAATTGAACTCAGGACCACTTAGGAAGAGCAGCCAGTGCTCTTGCCCTCTGAGCCATCTCTCCAGCCCCCAACTGTTATCCTTAATGATTGATAATTGTTAAGCTTTTTTTGGTTTGTTTTGAGACAGGGTTTCTCTCTGTGTAGTCCTGGCTATGTTAGCTGGCTGTGTAGACCAGGCTAGCCTTTAACTCAAAGATCCTCCTGCCTCTGCCTCCTGAGTGCTGGGATTAAAGGCATGCACCACCACACCTAGCTGCTAAGCTTTTAAAAATGAAAAAGCCAGGGCTGGAGAGACGGCTCAACAGTTAGGATGCTGCTCTTGCAGAGGACGGGTTTGTTCCTCGGCAACCACATGGTGGCTCACAACTATTTGTAACTCCAGTTCTAAATGTTCTGATGACCTCTAAAATAAGAACTTTCTATGTCAG